CTCCTTGGCAAACGAGCATTTTGATTCCTGTTGGAGTGCCACGCTGGACAGAATGGACGATGCAGCTGACGAGGCGGGTGAGATGTGTACTGAGGCAGCTTCTCCGTGCGGGGATGATGGTGAAGTGGCTGGAGAATCTGCAAAGGAGGGGAATATTGCGCACCGGCATGGGTTTGCCGTTACGTGGCTGGAGAACATTGCGAAAACAGGTGAATACAAGGGAGGGATGAGGAGAGGAGGAAGTGTTACTGACCTTGCGATAAGAGGAAAGAGCGGTTGCTTTTGCAGTAGGGAGTGTGGCTGTGTGGGAAATTGTGGGAGTGGTGGAAGTAGCGGTGTCGTATCTCCTGTGTGCAAAATTATGTCCACATCTCCTCCTCTCTTTGTTTGGGCTGCTAAAAGGTGGACGGAAAGAAGGGCTTCAGCAAGTGATGTTGTAGTTTCAAGCAGAATGTATAAGTAGGATGGCATCGTGTGGTACGGTGTACATACGTGGTTATTAATAACATGGGTTTGACTTACAGAGAATGTATAATCTCGTTGGGCATAACAATATAAATTGGTGAAAGTGTAACGAATAACCCTGCACGTACGGCGAAGTGAAGTTAGCATCATCAGCAGCTGCGGCAGCTCGGCATATTAACTCTATGCATATCCTCATGCTCCTGCTTCCCTCTCTCCTCCACACTCCCCTCCTCCATACTCCTCTCCTTCTAACCCCCCTCAGTCCCTCTCTCCTCCAGCAGACTAGGGAGGACAAGCCCCATCATAACGAATCACGCTGGTTCAGCTGATGCAGTTGCTCTTTCTCTGGGGGCAGCACCCGTACCCGTGCTCCTCGCACACCGTGCACCAGCTGTGGGGCGTTCAACCGCAGCCGGGCACCTGTTCCACCGCGGTGGTTCAGATGCTGCTTGGTGGTTGCTGCTTGTCAGCTTCAGAGGGGGCCCCTTGCTGGTGTTCCCACGCCCTGTAATGGGGTTTTACAGGTGTACCCCTTCAAGGGGGGCTCTGCACATGGTTATGCACTTCAGGCAGATAGGGGGTGTGTCACAATAGATTTATATCTATTTAGTATAATCTGCCTGTAGTGTAGCTGTTGTGTAATTCCCTTGTATGGTGGTGCACCTCTTTCATCTTTGTTAGGTTGCTATATGTACTCGTGTGCTATAGTGAACCTCAACACATTCTTGATTCTCCCTTGGCACAACTCCCTCGACACCCGCTTGGCCTAGGCTTCTAAGCCTAGGCCCTTAATTAAACCCCGTTCCTAGCTAAGTTCGTCTCGTGACACAGCAGGACCTGAGTCACCAGTGACCTCAACCGGCGCAGGCAAGGGAGGAGGGTCTACCTGAGACACACCTGAAGGAGCAGGACCGGGAGCGGGGAGGGGGTCTACCTGGGGAGCACCTGGAGCGAGGAAGAGCGGCGGGGGGGGGAGAGGGGCAGTGCGGTAGGGGAAGAGACGGTAAAAGGGAACCGACTCGTCGAACGTGACGTCCTGAGAGGGGAAGACACGGCGCGAGGTGGGGTGGTAAAACTGCCAACCAGGCGCGTCAGGGACAAAGCCAAGGAAGACACAGGGAACAGCGCGGGCGGAGAGCTTGTCCGTGGTGGTATCGCGGACAAAGGCACGAGAACCCCAGACCCGGAACACCGACGCATCGCCAACCTCCCCCGTCCACCGCAGTGTGGGTGAGGTCTCCGGCAAGGAGACATGGGGCCAGAGGTTGAGCAAATGCGCGGCGTAGCGGACCGCAAACGACCACAGAAAATGGGGGGCAACCGCATGGACCATGGAGGTACGAGGGACCTCCATGACCAAGCCAATGCGGCGCTCAGCAACCCCATTCTGCTGCGGAGAGGTCGGAAGCGTGAACGTCTGGCGAATGCCCTCCCCACGACAAAAGCTCTGCAGAAGGTCAGAGGAAAACTCCCCACCTCTGTCAGAGTGCAGACGCAGAACGGGAAACTCCGTCCCGAACCGCTCGCAGAGCTGGAGACGGGCAGCATGGATCCAAGGGATCAAAACATCAGGGACCTCACCCTTGGTGCGCAAGGGGAAGACCGTGGTGTAACGCGAGTAGTCGTCAACAACCAGCAGGAAGTACCGCTCGCGGTCCTGCCCACTGACGCGGGCTGGGCCCCACACGTCCATGTGCAGGGTCTGCAGGGGAGCAGTCGTCGGGGGAAACGAGGAGGAGTGAGGAGCGGCGCGCTGCCGCCCCTCGACACAGGGAAGACAGGGAGGAGCAGGCGAGGGTGGGAGGGGATGGAGAACCCTGGGAAGACCAGAGACAAGGACACGGCGGTGCATGCTACGAAGGCGCTGCACCGAGGGGTGACCAAGGCGGTGGTGCCAAAGGAGGGTCTGGTGCGACAAAGCACGACACGAGCAGGGGGCCGCTAGCTGACCTGACGCAGACGCAGACACAGCGACCTAAGGGGACACAGTAGTCAGTGTGTACAGACTCGAGCCAGGCGCACGGGTAAACGTGGCCAGGTGCCGGCCCGTCCGGGAGCACGTACAGTGGGTCACACGCTGACCTCCAGGAGTGAACTGGTCAACCCACTGGTCCTGGAGGTCAACACCACTCACCAAGTTTGTAGAGAACGAGGGGAGGTGAAGACCTGACAGGGAGCCAGACGGGACCGCCGGACACGGCAGGACCGTGGAGGAGTGCGCAAGGACTGGACCCCTAGAGGGGTCTGCCAGGGAGACTGCAACTGGCCGACTGAGCGGCGTGAGGGTGGTGCTGTCGCGAAAGAAGGAGCGGGAAGCACCTGAGTCAAGTGTGAAGGTGTACAAGGCCCAGCAGGCGCAGTACCAGAGAGAGCAGACTCACCAGCACCTGGAGCAGCAGCCTCACCAGCACCTAGAGCAGGAGACTCACTAGCACCTAGAGCAGCAGCCTCACCAGCACCTAGAACAGGAGACGCACGCGCACCTAGAGCAGCAGCCTCAGTAGCAGGCTCTATACCTGGGTCAGGCGGTACGCACAGGTAACAGGCACGGTCAGCACTAGTAGGCAATGCATACATGGCAGTGAGAATAGCATCATAGTCAAGAGCAAAGATATCTACCCTCTGCCCAAGCAGCTCCAGCCAGGTGGAGAGCTCAGCCTCGTCGCCAAACTCGGTACGCCAGGCATCGCTCAGACGGGCGAAGCAGTGGGATTGTGTGTGACTAAGCGTCCCGCAAGCCTGACCAGCCCGATCACCTGTGCGAATGACGTACGGGCAGCGAACGGTACTCCGAGACCCTCTACTCTGAGCGTACCACTCGTGAAGCTGCTGGGACGTAAGTGTCTCGCGTGGACGCCGCTGCAGCTGCAGCTGGCCACTGCCAGACGCTCCCAACTGACCAGCTCCAGGGCGACAGCTACGACGGCTACCGCCACAACCCCAACTAGCGTACCACTCACGAAGCTGCTGGGGCGTGAGAGACTCACGCGGACATCGCTGGAGCTGCATCTGGCCACCGCCAGTAGTAGCAGTAGCAGCAGTAGCAGTAGCAGTAGCCTAGTAGAAGTAATAGAAGTAGCAGCAGTAGCAGCGCGGGCAGGGCAGGCGCGGCAGGCAGATAGACAGGCAGGCAGGCAGGCAGGCAGATGGCGCGGCAGCGCGCGAACAAGGCAGGTGCTCACCAGTGGCGGGAAGGACAGGTGCTCGCTGGGCGATCAGGGCCAGCGCTCGGTGGGCGGTGGCCTGGTAGGCACACGACGGCGGCGACGGCGGGGCCGCAACAACGGCTGCGAATTAGGGTCGCGTCAGCTGCAGAGCTGGGACCACGACAGCGGCAGGGCAGGGCCGCGGCAGCTACTGCAGGGCGGGGCCAGGCGGGGCCGCGTCGGCGGCAGGGCGGGGCCGCGACAGCGGCAGGGCGGGGCCGCGTCAGCGGCAGGGCGGGGCCGCGTCGGCGGCAAGGCGGGGCCGCGACAGCGGCAGGGCGGGGCCGCGTCAGCGGCAGGGCGCGCCGCGACAGCGACCTGGCGGGGCCGCGTCGGCGGCAGGGCGGGGCCGCGACAGCGGCAGGTCGGGGCCGCGTCAGCGACCTGGCGGGGCCGCGTCGGCGGCAGGGCGGGGCCGCATCAGAGGCAGGGCGGGGCCGCGTCAGCGGCAGGGCGGTGCCGCGACAGCGACCTGGCGGGGCCGCGTCGGCGGCAGGGCGGGGCCGCGACAGCGGCAGGGCGGGGCCGCGTCGGCGGCAGGGCGGGGCCGCGACCGCGGTAGGGCGGGGCCGCGTCAGCGGCAGGGCGGGGTCGCGTCAGCGACCTGGCGGGGCGGCGTTCTGGCCTGACGGGCCTGCAGGGGCGGCTCGCGGGCCTGACGGGCCTGCAGGGGCGGCTCGCGGGCCTGACGGGCCTGCAGGGGCGGCTCGCGGGCCTGACGGGCCTGCAGGGGCGGCGCGCGGGCCTTAAGAGCCTGCAGGGGCGGCGCGCGGGCCTTACGGGCCTGCAGGGGCGGCGCGCTGGCCTAGGGCAGCAGTAGGCAGCGCGAGGGCTGCAGGACGGCGCGCGCAGCGCAGCACGTCACAAGGCAAGGCAGGCAGGCAGGACAACACGTGGGGTAGCGCGGTAACCGCAACGGTAGGTGGGCCCGAAAAAAAAAGGCGGTCCTACGGACCTAGTGCTCTGATACCATGTTAGAATCTAGCAGCAGGAATGAATGAACTATGAAAGAGTTGGGTACAAGTATGAAACCCTAAAAGGGGCTGTACCCCATATTGGCTACCCCACTACAGCCTACACATATATAACATGCATATACTTTGACAATCCAGACCTCCATCAGTAATACAGTAACATGCTTGCATACAACACACACGAAACAGGTGGTGGTACAATGTAAAGCATTGACTGGCTGTGCCTCAGCTTGCAACTGTTGCTCCTCTGCTTCATCATTGTCAATTAGGGAAGACAAGAAGAAAATTAGTGAAGTCAGGAAGAAAGAAGCATGTGAAGAAACATGGGGGAGGTGGTTTGAGGTGCAACGGAACAATGGCAAGGGAATACAAGCAAGCGCACATGATGAAAGCATGTATGGGGAAATAGATGGGTGCACACACATGGGAACAACAGGGCAGAAGGTGAGGAGTGAGGGGGAAGGGGAGGGCATGAAAAGGAAGGGATGGGGAAGGGGGGAAGCAAGGGAAGGGGATTGGGGGAAGCAGGGAACGGGATGGGGGGAAGCAGAGAAGGGGATGGGGGGAAGCAGGGAACGGGATGGGGGAAAGCAGGGACGGGGATGGGGGGGAGCAAGGGAAGGGGATGGGGGGAAGCAGGGAAGGGGATGGGGGGAAGCAGGGAACGGGATGGGGTGAAGCAGGGGAAGGGGATGGGGGGAAGCAGGGAACGGGATGGGGGGAAGCAGGGAAGGGGATTGGGGGAAGCAGGGAAGGGGATGGGGGGAAGCAAGGGAAGGGGATTGGGGGAAGCAGGGAAGGGAGGGATGGCGAGGGCAACGTGGAGTGGATGGGAGGGCGAGAGAGAGGGAGATTGCGAGGGGACGAGCGGGAAGGAGGGCGACGAGACGAAGGGGGGAAACGGGCGGAAGGGAGCGCGACGAGGGGAAGGAAGGGCGGCGGGCACAAGGGAGCGCGACGAGCGGAAGGAAGGGCGGTGGGCGGAAGGGAGGGCGACGAGGGGATGGAAGGGCGGCGGGCAGAAAGGAGTGCGACGGGCGGAAGGGAGTGCGACGGGCAGATAGGAGAGCGACAGGCGGAAGGGAGGGCAACGAGCGGAAGGGAGGGCGTCGGGCGGAAGGGAGGGCGGCGAATGGAAGGGAGAGTCGAGGTGAAGCGTGGGCGGTGTAAGGAAGCGTGGGCGGCGTAAGGTGTGAAGAATGAACGAGGGAATGAATCAACTAGGAAGCAGGTGGGTACAAATATGAAAACCTAAAAGAGTTGTACCCCATATTGTCAACCCCACTACAGCCTACAATATGGTTCTGACACACCCCCATAGGCAAAGTGGGGGACAAACAAGAGAACAAGACAAGGTCAAGCTCAGGGTGGATCACAACGTCACCACACATTCTGAGCACAAGTTCAAGGCCACAAGGCCAGTTCACATGCAGGAAAATAAATCAAGGTGAACAAACAAGACAGAGATCTCAACCTAACAAGGGTAAGCATGCAGGTGCAGGTATATATAGATCACAGTACAAGCAAAGTCAAGAGGTAAGTAAGTGAGGCCCGGTATGCACAAGACCTAGCATAGTACAGAAACGCTGATGATCACACGGCTGAAGTGCCTTGGTGAAGATATCAGCAGTGTTGGCCCGAGAGGCCACGTAAGCAAGACGAAGCTGGCCACGCAGCTGCAACTCTCGAGCAAGGAAGTAGCGCAGAGCAATGTGCTTCGTTATGTGCTCTAGTCTGTGCTCCTGACACAAGACCAGCATGGCCTTGTTGTCGACGTACAGAACTGGAGGAGAACGAGGCGGCTCTCCCAAGTCGGTCAGCAGGTAGGTGAGCCAGCGTAACTCCTGTGCAGCCATGGCCCCAGCGTAGATCTCAGCCTCACAACTGGAGCCGAGAACAGAGGACGAGCGGGTAGACCGCCACGAAACAGAGCCGGAACCAAGACTGAAGGTATAACCCTGTGACGACCGCTGCGTAGCCAAGTCGTCAACCCAAGAAGCGTCTGCGTGACCAGTCCTCCAAGCACGAGCCCCATGCCCGACATACTGCACAGGTAGCGCAACACCCTCTTAGCTGCAGCCATGTGCTCTGGTCGGTGTCTCCCATGAGCAACATAGCACGCCAAGATGCTAAGAGGGTATGCCAAGTCAGGTCGAGTGCAGGTCATCAGGTACATGAGGCAGCCCACTAGCTCTGGGTACGGACCACTCGGCTCTACGGACTCGTCCGAAGGTGGAGCTGAGAGCGAGTGACCTGTAGCCAGAGGAGTGGCCTGTGCCGAGGACCAAGTGAAGCCGAAGCGCTGAAGGACCTGCTGCACCATGTGTGACTGAGTCAGTGTGATGGTGCGGCGTGCTCTGTCCCGGGTGATCTGCAAGCCAAGGTAACTGCGCAGCTCACCCAGGTCTGTGCACATATGTCTTTTCTGCAGCTCCGACTTCACCAGGGCGAGAGCCTCAGTGTCAGCAGTGGCAAAGACCAAGTCGTCGACGTACACGAGGATGTAGAACGGCGGCAGCGAAGTGTCGGTGCGCAGAAACAGCGACGGGTCAGCAGTCGACGGAGCAAACCCAAGAGCAGCAAGAGTCGTCCTCAGTGTGTCGTGCCACTCACGTGGCGCCTGGCGGAGACCGTAGACCGGCCGCCGGAGGCTCCACTGGGTACCAGGAGGGAACGACCCAGTGAAGCCAGGAGGGCGGCGCAGCCAGATCTCCTCGTGCAGGCTGCCCTATTAGAAAGTTGTGCTGAAGTCAAGAGAGTGAAGCTCGTAGTCACGCTGAGCGGCAACGTGCAGCAGCACCCGAAGAGTGGTCATCTTCGGGGTGGGGGAGAAGGTCTGGAAGAAGTCAACTCCCTGTCGCTGACTGAAGCCTCGAGCAACGTAACGCGCCTTGAAGACAGGCGGAGAACCCGGCGGCCGCTTCACCCTGAAAATCCACATGTCACTGACGATGTTCGCCCTAGGAGGGGGAACCTCGTCGACGTAGGTGCCTGTGGACTTCCAGGATGCCATCTCTGCGTCCATGGCTGACTACCACTGAGAGGAGTAGGGACCCTCTATCGCCTCTGCGTAAGAGCGCGGGGTCGGGATGTCTGGTGCATCCGGGTCTCCCTCAGGTGCAATCAGCATGGACACGAGATGAGGTACAGCGGCTGCAAAGCACTCAAAGTCCTCCTGCCTGTCCTCAAGGACGTCCGTGCCAAGAGCACACTCACCCCCGACGGACGGAGGACAGACAGACTCAGACTCAGCAACAAGACTCGCGGCGTAGTCTAGACGACAGTGAGCAACAAAGTCGACAAGCTCAGCAACTAAGGCAGACGCAGCAGCGGACTCAAAGGAAGGGTCAATGACAACAGTGGCTAGGAGACGCGTGACAGTCGGAATAGCAGCACGAAAGGAGTCAGACTCCGGGCCAGAAAGGGCTGGAAGAGAGGACGCAGGAGGAGACGGCAGAGGGACACGCTGCGGAGCAGTGGAAGGACGCAGAGCCATCTGGTGGCACCAACAGTAGCACCACCAGGCCCAGCAGCTCCAGTACCTCCAGTACGAGCACCTCCGGGACCCGTGGCACCAGAACCCCCAGCAACTCCAGCAGCAGCAGGACCTCCAGCACCAGTAGCACCACCAGCTCCAGCAGCACGGCTCTAGCGGCGAGCAAACCACTCGCGCAGCTGCTGTGGAGAGAGTGGCTCCCGCCGGGACGAAGCACCCGAAGGACCTCCAAGCGCAGCACCTCCAGACTCCACACGCGCAGGCTCAGCACCCTCAGGCTCCGCACCCCCAGACTCAGCACCCCCAAACTCAGCACCCCCAGGCTCCGCACGCTCAGGCTCAGCACCCTCAGACCCGGCACCCGCAGGCTCAGCACCCCTAGCAGCACCAGAGTCAACGGCTACCTCGACAGGCTTGACTGCGTCTACCTGGGACACACCTGAGGTGGCAGGACCCTGAGGGGGGAGGGGGTCTACCGGGGGAGGACCTGGCGCGAGGAAGAGCGGCGGGGGGGGGAGGGGGGCAGTGCGGTAGGGGAAGAGACGGTAGTAAGGAACCGACTCGTCAAACGTGACATCCTGAGAGGACAGAACATGGCGCGAGGTGGGGTGGTAAAACTGCCAACCAGGCGCGTCAGGGGGGAAGCCAAGGAAGACGCTGGGAACAGCATGGGAGGACAGCTTGTCCGCAGACAAGTCGCGGACGAAAGCTCGAGATCCCCAGACACGGAACGCAGACGCATCGCCAACCTTCCCCGTCCACCGTAGAGTAGGTGTGGTCTCCGGCACGGAGACCCGGGGCTGGAGGTTGATCTGATGCGCTGCGTACTGAACCGCGAACGGCCACAGAAAATGGGGAGCAGCCGCATGGATCATGGACGTACGAGCGACGTCCATGACCATGCCAATGTGGCGCTCAGCAATCCCATTTTTCTGTGGAGAGGCCGGAAGCGTGAACGTCTGGCGGATGCCCTCCGCACGACAGAAGGCCTGCAGAAGGTCGGAGGAAAACTCTCCACCTCTGTCGGAGAGCAGACGCAGAACAGGAAGGTCCGAGCCGAAACTCTCGCTGAGCTGACGACGGGCAGCGCGGATCCAGTCGATCAGCACCTCAGTGACCTCACCCTTGCGGCGCAAGGGGAAGACTGTGGTGTAACGCGAGTAGTCGTCAACGACCAGCAGAATGCAGCGCTCGTGACCCTGTCCACGGACGAGGGCTGGGCCCCACACGTCCATATAAAGAGTCTGCAAGGGAGCCTCTTTGGGAGGAAACTCGGAGGAGTGAGGGGCGGCGCGCTGCTGCCCCTCTACGCAAGGAACGCAGGTAGGGGCAGGCCCCGAGGGGAGGGGAGGGAGAGACCGGGGAAGACCAGTGACAAGGACACGGGAGGCCATGCCTCGGAGACGAGGCAGGGAGGGGTGACCAAGGCGGTGGTGCCAGAGGAGAGTCTGGTGAGACAGGAGGCGACACGAGCAGGGGGCAGACTCAGGACCAGACCGGGACACTGCAGCAAACACCTGACCCGACGCAGCTACCTGACCAGACTCAGCAACCGGAGGAGACACGGTAGTCAGGGTGTACAGGCTCGACCCAGGCTGACGGGTGAACGTGGCCAGGTGTCGGCCCGTCCGAGTACACGAACAGTGGGTCACCCGCTGACCTCCAGGAGTGAACTGGTCAACCCAGGCGTCCTGAAGGTCAGCTCCATTCACCAAGTTCGTGGAGAACGAGGGGAGGTGGAGGCCAGACAGAGAGCCAGACGGGACCGCCGGACACGGCAGGACCGTGGAGGAGTGTGCAAGGACCGGACCCCCAGAGGGGTCAGCCAGAGAGACTGCCACTGGCCGACTGAGCGGCGAGAGTGTGGTGCAGTCGCGAAAGAAGGAGCGGGAAGCACCTGAGTCAAGGGTGAAGGTGTGTAAGGCGTGAGCCGACGCGGTACCTGAGAGAGCAGACTCACCAGTACCTGGGGCAGCAGACTCACCAGCACCTGGAGCAGCAGACTCACTAGCACCTAGAGCAGCAGCCTCAATGCCCGGGTCGGGCAGAACACACAGGTAACAGTCACCCTCAGCACTAATAGACACAGCATACATAGCAGCATGGAGAGCATCATAATCAAGATCAAAGATAGCAACCCCCGACTTAAGCAGATCACCCCAGCGAGGGATCTCAGTGGAGTCGGGAAACTGCGTACGCCAAGCGTCAGTCAGGCGGCCAAAGCAGCGCTGCGTGGCGTGCGGTCCTCCACACGTCTCCCCACTGCGGTCGCGGGTGCGGAGAACGTAAGCGCAGGGACCAGCACCCCCAAACCTCCCACGCCCAGCGTACCACTCACGAAGCTGCTGAGGCGATAGGGTCTCACGAGAACGCTGCTGCTGCTGGCGCTGGCCACCACCAAAGCCTCTACGCTGCACAGCGCCACCCCGACCAGCACCACCGCCGCCGCCACCCCCACTGCCGCTGCCGCCGCCGCCTCCACCCCCACCACCGCCACCAAAGCCCCCACTCCCGCCACCACCCCCACCTCCACCCCCACCCCCTCCGCCGCCTCCACCGCCACCACCGCCGCCCCCGCCGTCCCCTCCACCACTCTTGCCCCCCTTGCCCTTGCCGTTGCGGCGCCTCCCACTAGGAGCAGACGCAGTGCCGACCGACTCGGTGCCAACGAGGTCGACAGTAGCAGCAGAGGCAACGGAGGGCAAAAGGGGGACGGGGGAGCACCCCTCAAAGAAAGGGGCGCGAGGGTCACCACGAGAGGCTGCTACAGCGACTATACTCTTTTCAGCTGCAAGGAGGCGCTCCTCGAGGAGGTCAATGGTGAGTGTGGTGGGGCAAAGGGAGAGGAAGTGGTCCCTGACCGAGCGAAGGGAGTCAGGGAGCCGGGTGACGAGGTAGTAGAGAGTGATGTACATAGGGGGGGGGGGGGGGGGTTCGCGGCGCAGAACTCGGCAGGAAGCGCAGCGCGGTAGCGGGTGTCACTATGAGGTCAGCGAATGTGGCAAAAGCGGCTAGGTCAGGGAACAGGTACGGCAGCATGAGGCGGCTAAGGGCAGCAGTGGCAGGGGAGGAGTAGCGCGCAACAACAGCGTCGTACAGAGTCCTAGCGGTCTTGTACTGGCTAAAGTGCGCGCGCTCAGCAGACGGCAGGTGACTACGAATAGCAAGACGGGCAGCAGCATCGCGCGTGGTCCACTGCGAGCAAACAGTACTGTCAGCATCAGCAGCAGGTGCAGCAGAGGCGCCAGACGTAAGATCAAAAAGCGAGACTCCGTCCTTGCTATCGCACTGCAGAAGCAGCTGCAGATCATCGACCCAGACCTCGAAATCAATTGCCCGACCCTCAGCATCGAAGGAAAGTACATTAGGGGTAGCCATGACAGCAGTAGCAGTAGTAGTAGCAGTAGCAGCAGCAGCAGCAGCAGTAGCAGGAGCAGCGCCACTCGGCAGAGCGGCGCGGCTCGGTAGGGCGGCGCGGCTCGGCAGGGCAGTGCGGCTCGGTAGGGCGGCGCGGGTGCAGCAGTGCGCTTACCAGGGAGGGATCGGGGTAGGGCCGCAGCTGGAAGGGCAGGGCCGAGGCGCGCCGGCAGGTCAGGGCCGCAGCGACGGCGGCAGTAGGAAGGGCCGCGGCGGCGGCTTCAGGGAGGGCCGCGACGGCAGGGCGGCAGGGCCGCGACGGGCTCAGACAGGGCCGCGACAGCAGGGGCCGCGACGGCAGGGGCCGCGACGGCAGGGGGCGCGACGGCAGAGGCCGCGACGGCAGGGGCCGCGACGGCAGGGGCCGCGACGGCAGGGTCGCGACAGCAGGGGCCGCGACTGCAGGGGCCGCGACGGCCAGGGGCCGCGACAGCAGGGGGCGCGACGGCCAGGGGCCGCGACGGCAGGGGCCGGGACGGCAGGGGCCGCGACGGCCTGGGGCCGCGACGGCAGGGGGCGCGACAGCCAGGGGCCGCGACGGCAGGGGCCGTGACGGCCAGGGGCCGCGACGGCAGGGGCCGTGACGGCAAGGGGCGCGACGGCCAGGGGCCGCGACTGCAGGGCCGCGACGGCTCTAGTCAGGGCCGCGGCGGCAGGGTAGGCGCACGGGGCGCAAGGAAGGCAGGCGCACGGGGCGCAGGTAAGGCAGGCGCGAGGCGCTCGATAGGGCAGGGAGCGCGCTTCGGGCAGGGCAGAAAAAATATTAAGTGGTGGGCCCTTAAAAAAAAAACGGTCCCACTAGGGAACCCACTCTATACCATGTGAAGAATGGAAGCAGGTGGGTACAAATATGAAAACCTAAAAGAGTTGTACCCCATATTGTCAACCCCACTACAGCCTACAATATGGTTTTGACATAAGGAAGCGTGGGCGGCGTACGGAAGAGTGGGCGGCGTACGGAAGCGTGGGCGACGTAAGGAAGTGTGGGCGACGTACCTAAGCGTGGGCGACGTATGGAAGCGTGGGCGACGTACCTAAGCGTCGGCAACGAGCGGAATCATGAACGACGCGAGGACGATGACGCGCGGGCGCGTACGTTTCGGCATCTCGCTTCAACACGCGAGCAGGGGAAGCGGGGCGCACGCTTTGAAACCAAGCTATGCGCATGGTTTCAGCATCCGCGTACAGGCGCGGCCTCTTGTCATAGCGACGAGAGGCCGTGGGGATAGGACGACATGCCTGTGTGACGTTTGACGCTGGAGTATATCTAGGGAAAATAAGATGCCGAAATGAGACTTAGTCGCTAGAGAAATCGGTGCAAGCATGTTCCTCCGCCTACAACCTGTCTGGGTTTGCAGTCTCATATTTTTCCAGCTCTGTAATACGCTCGGTTCTGGGTTGTGTGTCGCATTCTCAGTCCGTCGCACACGCAGTTGCCTGTTTCTCGCAAACCCGGCTTGGTAGTCTGGCACCTGCACCTACCAAACTGTTTGGTTTGCAGCCAGTCGCACCTGCGCCAAACCAAACGCGAGTGTTTTGCGAGTGATTGTTTGGTTACCCAGTTTCAAGCATATTACATTTGGTTGGAAACAAGAAATATGAGCGCATGAAACCACTTGCCAAAAGCGTGAAATAGACCTTTAATGACCGTTGAATTTTGTTACGTAACAAAAATGCCATCCAGGCCCTTGTTTATTACGATTCGCATGTTTGCCGTGCAGCATTCTTGTTCGTACTGGTGATTTGTCAACACACTGTATCACCCACATTTGTACCAAACTGGCTACCGACTTTCCAGGATACTGCCCTTGTGCTCTCTATAGATCACCTCCGCCGCGCCATCTTCACAGCCCCGCGCGGGTCGTCTGGAGGACCGACAGGCTGGGTTGCCGAGCATCTTCGAGATACTTTCCTTGCCTTTCCTGAGAGCCTCCCTAGCCTGCTCGCCATGTACCAGCTTTGGCTGCGAGGCTACTGCACCCCGGCAGCTCGGTCGCTATTGGCATCGTCCACCCTGGTCGCTCTCGCGAAACCGAACCTGGATGTGCGTCCTATCGCAATAGGTGAGGTTCTGATTCGCATCCTTTCTCGCGCAGTATGCTTGCAGCTGCGGGACCAGATGGCTAGAGTTTTCCTCGCGTCACAGCAGTTTGGGGTGGGCGTTACCTGTGGGACAGAGGTCGTAGTTAGAGGCGTTCGTCCAGGCCCTCTAGACTAGTGCAGAGTTCCGCTGTCTTATTCCTTTCATTCGCCTTTTCTACGGGACACCCTCTGATCTCCTTTACCGGGCGAATGGAGGGGTGACCACCATTCACTCGGAGCGCGGTATTGAAAGACCACACCCGCCACCCCCATGCTCGGCACCCCACACCCCCAGCACCACGGAATGCACGGGGGGGGGGGGGGGGGGGGGGGGGGGGGGGGGGAACGGGACGGGATGCAGGTGCGGGCTGCTCCAGGGGCGGCCGCTGCAGGTGCGGGCTGCTCCAGGGGCGGCTGCTGCAGTTGCTGGCTGCTCCAGGGGCGGCTGCTGCAGGTGCGGGCTGCTCCAGGGGCGGCTGCTGCGGTTGAGGGCTGCTCCACGGGCGGCTGCTGCAGGTGCAGGCTGCTCCAGGGGCGGCTGCTGCAGGTGAGGGCTGCTCCAGGGGCGGCTGCTGCAGGTGCGGGCTGCTCCAGGGGCGGCTGCTGCAGTTGCGGGCTGCTCCAGGGGCGGCTGCTGCAGTTGCGGGCTGCTCCAGGGGCGGCTGCTGCAGTTGCTGGCTGCTCCAGGGGCGGCTGCTGCAGGTGCGGGCTGCTCCAGGGGCGGCTGCTGCAGGTGCGGGCTGCTCCAGGGGTGGCTGCTGCAGGTGCGGGCTGTTCCAGGGGCGGTTGCTGCAGGTGAAAAGTAGGAGGGAGGGGAGGGGAAGGGCGCGGCTCCCAGGGCGCCCTGACGGGCGACGAGCTAGGGGGCCGCACAGGCCCCCGAGAGCGCCTCGACGGGCGACGGGAGGGGACCGCGCGCGGGCCCCCAAGACGCCTCGACGAGGCGACGGGAGGGGCCGGCTCGCGGGCCCCGAAAGCGCCGCGACGAGGCGACGGGAGAGGCCTGCGTGCGGGCCCCCAAAACGCCGCGACGAGGCGACGGTCGGGGCCGGCGCGCGGGCCCCCAAGACGCCGCGACGAGATAGGAACCCGCCTCGCGCCGCGGGGCGCACGGCGGGCAGAAAACCGCCACGCGCCCCGAGCGCGTGGCGGGAAGAAAAATAGGAGGTCGCGCGCCACGGGGCGCGCGACACACAGTAGGGCAGCGGAAGTAGGTGGGCCCACAGGCCAGGAGCGTTTAGCTCTGATAGCATATTGAAAGACTAAAGTTTAGTAGGCTTAGGAGCCATGGTAGTTAAGTGACTTAGTGGTGAAGTTCGAGGGTAAGGAAAATTGTCGAGAGAGTTGTGTGAGAGAATGATGGTTTCACTATAGGTTCAAGGGTACAAATATGAAAGAAGTGAAGCAAGGTGCACCACCTAACAAGCAAGATAACTACACTAAGTCTACATTGCAGGTAGTTATAAAGTGATGTATACAATAACATTCTGACACGCGGGACCCGTCAGGGCGACCCGCTCAGCCCTTTCCTGTATGCACTCACACAGCGCATGGCTCTACAGCCAGTTCTAGCTGAGGGCGATGTCCAGCTATGGTCATACGCAAATGACACTTACGTGATGGGTCCTCCTTCCAGGGTGCTACACCACTTCGCAAAGATTGTGAGGCACTTGCGCGAGCTGGGCCTTGCGGTCCAGCCACACAAGTGTCTCGTCTACGGCAGGGATTTTGTGACTTCCAGGGAGGTGGAGGCCTTCATGAGTCTGGGGATTGAGGTCGCTAGCAGAGGACTCACCGTCACGGGAGTGCCGGTGGGCTCTGACGCTTTTGTGGAGAGGAGCCTACCTGAGCATCTGGAGAGGATGGGGCGCGTGTTGCCGTGGCTTCCGAGACTGCGCCAGCCCCAGACAGCGGCCCGTCTACTTTCGACATGCGTTAGCACGCGACCGCAGTATCTGGCGAGGACGGTCCCTCCGACCCCAGCTGTACGTGCCAGTTCTTCACGGTGGGATGAGCGGTTGGGGGAGACCTTTCAGCAGCTTCTGGTGCCTGGGACTTGGACTTGCAGAGAGGACGTTCGTGAGGCTGCCCTGGACCAGATCTACCTCCCCATACGTCTAGGGGGTTTGGGCATCCGACGCATGGAGCATATCGCCCCGGTGAGTTATGCGTGCTCTTGGGTACAGTGCGCGCCGATCCTTTGCTCCCTCCCAGTATGCGGCGCGAGCTTCCGACAGAGCTTCGCATCGGATGATGTTGACCAGATCGATCGATCACTGCGGACGGCGATGGAGGGCCTCCCACGTGACATCCTCTCTCTCTTCCCCCCCTGGCACTCTTGTGTCTCTGCTGCCCCTGATTCTCTTTTCACAGGAGTGAGCCGCGTCTTGGAGGCGCGGGCCTTGGAGTCAGTCCGGGCCCGTCACACTAACCCCTTGCACCTTGCCCGTTTGACATCCCTTCAGGGCGCAGGTGCAGGCGCGTGGTTGACGGCGGTGCCGTACGCAGACTCGCTGCGCATCCCAGAGGCGCAGTGGCAGGTGGCCTCAGCTTTCCGTCTCGGCCTCCCTATCCCCCAACTAGCCCTCGCAGGTCGGTGTTCTTGTGAGTAGGCGATCGACGACATGACGGTACTTCACCACGTGGTGCGGTGCTCCCGCTTCGGCGTCGCCACGGTCATCCACGACACCGTGAAATACATGCTTCGGGACTTTGCTTCTGAGGCAGGCTTCGCGGTGAAGGTGGAGGACACCACTTTGATTCTGCACCTGGAGGCAGCTAGAGCGCGATCGCAGGGACTCTCGGGGACGGGGGACGGGGTACCGAGACAGTCAGGGGCACCGTGGGGACAGCAGCAGCAGCAGGGTGGGCTCGGTCGAGGGGCTGGTGGGCAGGAGGGCCGAGAGGGGCAGGATGGGCTGGCTAGTGGGGGAGAGGAGGGGGGACAGCAGCAGCAGCGGCACCAGCAGCAGCAGCAGCAGCAGCATCAACAGCAGCAGCTAGGCCAGCAGGGGCAGGAGGGGCAGACCCGTAGGGGTGAGGAGAGGGGCCAGCATGGACAGCAGCAGCAGCGGGGCCAGCAGGGGCAGGAGGGGCTGGCTAGTGGGGGAGAGGAGAGTGGACAGCAGCAGCAGCAGCAGCAGCAGCAGCAGCAGCAGCAGCAGCAGCAGCAGCCGCAGCGGCAGCAGCAGCGGTGGCAGCGGCAGCAGCAGCAGCAGCAGCAGCAGGGCCAGCAGGGGCAGCGACAGCAGGTTTGTAGGGGAGAGGAGAGAGGGCAACAGCGGCAGCACCAGGGAGGTCAACAGGGTCAACAGGGGCGGCAGCAGGAGGTTCAGCATGGGCAGCCGCGTGAGGGTCAGCAGGGGCAGGCTGGCTGGGAGGAGGAGAGGAGACAGCAACAGCAGCGACGACAGCAGGAGGGCCAGCAGGGGCAGGAGGGGCAGGCCAGTATGGGAGAGGAGAGAGGACAGCAAGAGCACCAGCAAGAGGGTCAGCAGGGGCAGCAGCAGGAAGGTCAACAGGGGCGACAACAGGAGGGTCAGTGGGGCCAGGCTACTAGGGGAGAGGAGAGGGGACAGCAGCGGCAGCAGCAGCAGCAACAGCAACAGCATGGCCAGCAATGGCAGGAGGGGCAGGTTGGTGGGGGAGAGGAGAGAGGACAGCACAGCCAGCAACAGGAGGTTCAGCAGGGGCAGGAGAGGCCAGCGAGTGGGGTAGAGGAGAGGGGACAGCAGGGGCAGCAGCGGGATGGCCAGCAAGGGCAGGTCGGGCTCCGGGTCTAAGGGGCGACCCAGCCCTTGGGTGCGGGCTGGTTCGGGGAGAGAGGGAGAGAGGAGGTGGCGAGGGACACGACTGCGGGAGCGCAAGGGTTAAGAGGGGAGGGTATGGAGGGGGGGGATAGGGCGAGGGTGCTGGGGGGTTTGGGGTTGGGGAGAGGGGATGGGAGGAGGCAGGTGGGTGGGGGAGAGCGTAGAGAGGCAGAGACGACAAGGGAGGAGGCACAGAGGGACCAGGCACAGCAGCAGCCAGTACAGCAGCAAAGGCAGGCTGGACGCACAGGCCGCATAGGGGCACCAGCCAGCATTCTAGACCTGACTTGCCGCGATATAGAAAAAACTTTGATGGTGTTGGTAGACGTCTCCATTGCAGATCCACAGCAACAGGGGAATACCGGGCTTAGACGAGTGGCCCCAGTGCAGATAGGTGTTGCAGCAGCCAGACGAGTGCAGGACAAGTTGCGGGATTGGGCACCGCATCTAGAGGGATTACAACCGCCGCCACATTTTTATGCTTGTATAGTGGAGACGTTTGGGTTGCTCAGCGAGCCATTAAGGCAGTTTCTAGGGCTTTGTGCGCGGCGGATTGCACAACGGCGTAAAGACTTGGGGGGGGGGGGGGATGACGGGTCAGCCCGGATTTTCGAGACCGGACTCACTACATGACTTTCCGTGGCACTGCACCGAGCGCAGGCTCAGAGTATTATACAGCACGCGGTGCGGCAGTTGGGAGGGTCAGACGATGGGTGGATGCCCGCACCAGTCCCTTTGGGTGCAGAGCAGGGCAGTTGGCATCACATTATCGGCTGCTTTGAGAGCGTGGCAGACATGCAGTATATGTACGATGCATATGTGTAGGCGTTTAGCGATTGTGCTTGAAAGGCTGTGTCCCGTGCTGTGGTGCGGGTTGCTGTGGTGTTTTGGTCCTTAGGTGTTTCCTTCCTTTAGTTCTTCCTCTCTTCTTTTCCTCTTTCCACCTTTCCTTTGGCCCTTCTCTTCTTCTCCAGCTCTTCTCTCCTTATCACCCTGTCTTTGTTCCACCATTTCTACCTTCCTCTAATACCCCTTATCTTAATTACCACGACTTTGTATCAAACTTAATCCATAACAATAAAACATTTGTACCAAACCGCAACAAAGCAACCGCCTTGATATTTTGAAATCCTGCCGATTCTTTGTTTGGGTGCCCGCTATTGAATTCAAAATCATGATATATTCAGTACACACGTAAGCCACTCACTACTCATTGGCCAGTGCTGGAAACCTAATTTGTTCTCTTCAATGAGAAAATAGGGCAGCACGAATGAAAGAATCAGAAGTATTGGCGGAAGCAACCAGGTGATCGCAACGCACGAGGGTTCACTAGGACGTGGCACAGACCGCCTCTGATCGGCGCTGATCTGATCGGGGCGGATTTGATCGGGTTGCTTGTGATTGCATTGCTCGCGCCGCCCGATTAGTGCTGATATTCCCAGAAATTTTAAGGCGCCTGCCCCGCAAGCGTGTCAGCATTTCCTTACCTTTTCGTCCCATTTTTGGCGAGAACGAAGGCGTACCGAATTTTATGTTTCCATGTAATTTCGCAAAATCCACTTTAAAAGATGCATGCGCGAACGCTTAACGAGTTTAACGAGACCTGGTAGCTTGTTCGCGGGCGTCGCCAAGATCACTAATCCCATGCAATCAAGTGATCGTGACTGATTGTGTGTGATTGTGATTGATTGGGGTGTTTGAGGTGGTTGATCGAGTTGGGGCGATTAATTGATCGCGATCAACCGATTGCCCCTGATTGCCTGAAATTGGCCTCGGGGCTTGCTGGAACTCGATCAGAGGCGGTCTGAGCCACGTCCTTGCCCTCACCACCTCGCTTGCAAGGTGGGTGTACAGCTGACGACGACAGGAGGCGTAGAGAACAGCCAGCCAAGCATTTCTGACCCAGTGTAACTGAAATCGGGGCAACCTGGGAAAACTCAGCAGCAAGATGTTGTGGATTATCTGACACGTCAACTGACACGTCGATATGGTTGTTGTGGGATGGGGTTTCGATTCGAGCTCAATCAATTGCGACCACAGGATCATTGCCTGCCAAACTCATTCGGACGGACCAATGGCTGTCGAGCTAACGTGTCGTCTGTGCTAAACACACGTGGTACACTTGCACCAATCATGTTGTTTCGAAGCTCCCCTAAAGACACACCCTCAACCGTGGGGAGGTGGGTGTACTGTAGTGTAGTGTAGGTTGAGGAAAGTTTGTTTTACAATCAGAATCGTCGCGACTCACGATACGCATTTGAATGAAATGTAACGAGGTCCCGATGGGTGGAAGCTCGGCTTTAGAGCGTGTCCAGTCTGAGATGTTGACGGAGGTTGAGGGCGGTGAGCCGTCGGATTTTTCTTGGGGATTATTATCCGACACTTCACCTCCCTCGACGTCTGTCGAGCTCCGTTTACATATCACTTTTGAACACGCTCCTACAGTTGTAGAGATGGGTCCTCCTTTTAGAGACAAATAGTGATTAGGAAACGGAAGAAGCCACCGCCTTTTTACCGATCGCAGATCTGATCAGTTCTGGATGGTGTGATTTTCAGCTCTGCCTGAGCGTAGACCGTGAAAACAGCGACGGCGTTTGGTGATCAGCGCAGATATGATGTTCTCGCTCTTGTGTGTGGTTTCGCAGCCCCACTGGACATGCGGCTGCACGGTAAGCCTAGGCTGAAGTCCCTTTTTAGCACTGTACTGTACTTAGCTTCCTCGGGAGCTTCCTTTTGGGTGCGAGCGTGTGTACGCATACGCGACTCTAGCGCACGGGAAACCCTTGAACCGTCGCACGTTCGCCTGGCGCATCATGGAGCACGCTTGGAACCTATTTCTAAAGCGAGAGAGTCTGAGCATTTTCAGTCAGCTTCGTATTCTTCCACGTTACTACTTTCTGTTGAGCTACGTTACTGGTACCAGCTCAAGACTCTCTGACGAACACATTCGAGCTCCTGAACCTCCGCTGGTTCCGTGCTTCCTCTGTGCTTCATCGTTACGCTGCTCCGAAGTCACCTCCAGAATCAGGCTTGTACCGGAGCGTAAAAAAAACCAGGACTTCAGTGCTTCAAGCTTATTTGGGTGGATTTTATGCACACCAGCATCATGGATTCCGGATCAACGGCCGTCATGAATGCTGCAAAGTCGCGCTTCTCCAACGTAGATCGCCGGCTTGAGGCATGGAACCGCGCAACAGGCTGCTCACTCAACCCAGCACTTCCGCAATCGCCTCTTCAAAGGCTTGCTCCGAGTTTTGAGGCTCCGCAAACACCTCAAAAGTCATCCAACCCAGCGCTGCTTCTGCAAACACCATCTCCCAGGCTTGCTCGGAGAACGCGCGACTACAATGTGGTCTCCAGGCTCAAGGACCAACCAAGGGCCTTGCTGGATTTGGAAACCCGCAAGAATCCAGCTCTGGAGTTTCCAGCTGCTGTGACTGTCAGGGATCCTTGGGTCCCCTGCTCAGCACCTGTACTTCGCACCGCAAACACGGCTACGTCCGATCGCATCTCTCCGGTTCTTGCTCCTGTTGTTGAAGTAAATGGATTCTCTGTGCTGCAGCAGAGCAATGGGGAGCAGGTGCGCGCTTGCTGCCTTGCAAACGACCACTTTGATTCCACATGGGACAGAATGGAGGATGCAGCTGACGAGGCGGATTCTCGTGGTGACGTGGCAGGGGAACCTGCAAGCAAGCAGAGTCAGGTGCTGCCAAAGGAGGGGGATATTGCGCATCGGCGTGGGTTTGCTGATACGTGGCTAGAGAGCTATGAGAAAACAGGAGAGTACAAGGGAGGGATGAGGAGAGGAGCAAGTGTTGATGACCTTGCGATGAGAGGAAAGAGCAGCTGCTTTTGCAGCAGGGAATGTGGCTGTGTGGAAAATGGTGGGAGTGGTGGAAGCAGCAGTGTTGTATCTCCACTGTGCAAGATAATGTCCACAGCTCCTCCTGTATTTGTTTGGGCTGCTAAACGGCGGATGGAGAGAAGGGCTTCCGAAAGCGAAGCTGTAGTTTCGTGCAGGATGTATTGATGATGTTGTGGTTGGTAGTGTGTACATAAGTGGATAATAAAGGAGTGGGTTAACTATAGGGATGGATAATAACATATTAAGCTTATAGAGAATTAGGTGAAGGTGTAACAAATTGCTTCCACCTTGTGCATGTTTTCGTCGTCACTGACCCGTCCTGACAGGTTCTTCGCGTGCCACGTCAGCCGAGAAGGGATTCCTGGCATTCACACCTCAGGATTTATGGAAGAACCATTCGGTAACCCTAAAGAACCGTCGCAAAACCGCCCTGAAAACCTGAGTTTCTTTCTTGTTGATTATTATTCTTCCCAAAGCAGATTCATCCCGTCCCTGGTTCATGCTCTTGGTAATTCCTGGACTTGCCAATCCAAGATGCTTTCATAGGCCTCTGGCTGGGGTCTAGCTCTTCGTCAGTTCTTTCAGGGCATCGTTTCGCTCTCGCTTCAGCAGGGGTGCGCGTCACCTGCGTCGGTGATTGTGAAGAATTTGATCAAGTGGTTTTGTTGAAGTTGTTCGCTGCTGCGCTTTATTCGTCCAGTTTGTTCGACACGTACCGGTCGCACGTCATCTTCACGCTTTCCGTAGCTATTCCGTCACAATTATAGACGGATTGTTCGGATAGAAGATTCGTCAACGGGATTGTTGATAGCGGACTCGTCAGATTGTAGACAGAGTTGTTAGATACAGTAGCCATGACCCGATCTATCGCCACAGCGGCGGCGCGGCTCGCGCGGCGCGGCGCATACGTTATGAGGAGCTCTCATCAGCAGCAGCATCGTCAACCCTCGTTACAATCACACCTTGCTTCCCATCCGCCTCGATACAATCACACCCCGGCGAGCACCGCGTCGCTGGCGCCGTTGCTCTCTCTGCGGTCGCGACTGTTTTCGGCCGATGCGCAGAACGTTTCGCCGCAAAGTGCTGAAATCGAGCGTGCTTCTAACGAAAGTGCTGCAGTGAAGACCGCTTTTGCGCAGAAGACCCCTTCCCCTGAGACCGACGAGCCGATTACGCTGGATGTGAAGGGAGTGGAGATGAGGGGACGGCCGCTGTACCTCGATATGCAGGTGCGTGTATTGGGATTGCGTGTAACGGAGGTGATTGTAACGAGGATGCGTGTAGTGACGAGCCGATCACGCTGGATATGAAGGGAGTGGGAGATGAGGGGACGGCCGCTGTACCTGGATATGCAGGTGCGTATAACGGGGGGAACCTCAGTTGAATCTGGATTTGTGTTTTAACGAGGTATCGCGATGCTTTTTCTGGAAGGAAGTAGAAACGAGTGGATTGCTGGTGTATGAGGAGGGATGTAACCGCGAATGTTGATTGAGCATGTGTTGCGTACCGAGGTAAAGCATATCGAGGCATTTCTTGGGGCAAACTCAGGCATCTCTTAGTGCTTGCGAGCGATTTGTGAGACTTCTCAACAATTGCCCAGTCATTGCTGGGTTTGGGCCGAGTGGCGCTTCACGGCCTAAATTTCCAGGCGGGGATAGCTCAGTTGGGAGAGCGTCAGACTGAAGATCTGAAGGTCGCGTGTTCGATCCACGCTCACCGCACTTTTGAGGCTTCTGTGCCTCTCCCACCCTTGCGTCCCACAGTCCCCTCACATTTCTCCCCCGCCTGTTTTGCTCTTGCGTTTTCTCTCCCTATTTCTTTTCCTCCGTATCTCCATGCAGTTTCCGTGTTGCCTTCCTGCTGCCTTCTTGCCCCATCCTTCGCCCTCCCTACCCCCTCCCCTACCCCCTCCCCTACCCCTTCCCCCTCCACCTCCCCCTTTCCCTCCCTCCCCCTCCACCTACCCCTTTCCCTCCCTCCCCCTCCACCTACCCCTTTCTCTCCCTTCCCCTCCACCTCCCCCTTTCCCTCCCTCCCTCTCCACCTCCCCCTTTCCCTCCCTCCTCCCCTCACCCCCTCCCCCGTTCCCTCCCTCCCCCTCCACCTCCCCTTTCCCCCCCCCCCCCTCCACTTCCCCCTTTCCCTCCCTCCTCCCCTCACCCCCTCCCCCTTTCCCTCCCCTTCCACTCTCCTCCTCTCAACCATCTTCCCTTCCCCCCTCGTCCCCCCCCCCCAGGCCACCTCCCCTGTGGATCCGCGGGTTCTAGACGCCATGCTGCCGTTTTTCACAGAGCAGTACGGCAACCCGCACTCGCGCACGCACCTGTACGGGTGGGAGAGCGAGGGGGCGGTGGAGGCAGCACGGCGGCAGGTGGCTTCTCTCATTGGTGCCAGCCCTAAAGAAATCATATTCACATCGGGGGCCACCGAGTCGAACAACATTGCCATCAAGGGCGTGGCTCACTTCTACAAGTGAGTGGTTGTGATGGGTGGTGCACGGTGGGCTTAGTGTGTGCCTGGTGCAGCAAGGAGGTGCAACAGCAGGTGCAGGCAGCAGGTGCAGGCAGCAGGTGCAGGCAGCAGGTGCAGGCAGCAGGTGCAGGCAGCAGGTGCAGGCAGCAGGTGCAGGCAGCAGGTGCAGGCAGCAGGTGCAGGCAGCAGGTGCAGGCAGCAGGTGCAGGCAGCAGGTGCAGGCAGCAGGTGCAGGCAGCAGGTGCAGGCAGCAGGTGCAGGCAGCAGGTGCAGGCAGCAGGTGCAGGCAGCAGGTGCAGGCAGCAGGTGCAGGCAGCAGGTGCAGGCAGCAGGTGCAGGCAGCAGGTGCAGGCAGCAGGTGGCGTCTCTGATCGGCGCCAGCCCCAAGGAGATCAACTTTACGTCGGGGGCGACCGAGTCGAACAACATCGCCATCAAGGGCGTGGCTCACTTCTACAAGTGAGTTGTTGGGATGGTTGGTGAACGGTTGGCTCGGTGCGTGGTGGCGTCTCTGATAGGAGCCAGCCCCAAGGAGATCATATTCACTTCGGGAGCAACGGAATCAAATAATATCGCGATTAAGGGCGTGGCGCATTTCTACAAGTGAGTGGTTGCGAGGGGTGGTGCTCGGTGGGCTTAGTGTCTGCCTGGTGCAGCAGGTGGCGTCTCTCATCGGTGCCAGCCCCAAGGAGATCATCTTCACTTCTGGAGCAATGGAGTCGAACAACATTGCCATCAAGGGCGTGGCACATTTCTACAAGTGAGTGGTTGTAACGGGTGCTGAATGGTTGGCTTTGTGCATCACTCATCGGTACCAGCCAGCCCTAAGGAGATCATTATCACGCCGGGAGCACACGGAGTGAAGCAACATCGCCATCAAGGGCGTGGCGTGGCGCATTTCTACAAGTGAGTGGGTGATGGCTGTGTGGTGAAACCTGGCTGCATCTGGCTGCTGATTGGTGCTAAGAAGCAAGCAGTGCCACGTCGCCACCACACATACGGAGCACAAGTGCGCTTTGGACTTGTCTTGCCACGTGTTGCCAATCTCCCTGTCAACGACCTCCCCTCCCGGTCCCCCAACTCCCCCCACTCTTCTTCCCCCTCCCCCCCCGCCCTAACCATACTTCACCCCTCCAGGGACAAGAAGCGGCATGTGATCACCACTCAAACCGAGCACAAGTGCGTGTTGGATTCGTGCTTGCACCTGCAGCAGGAGGGATTCGACACCACTTACCTGTCTTCCGTCCATGCACTCACCTCTCCCATTCCCCTTCCCCCTTCCACCTCCACTCTCCCCTCACACTTGAACCAAGTAGGGACAAGAAGAAGCACGTGATCACCACACAGACAGAGCACAAGTGTGTGTTGGACTCATGCCGGCACCTGCAGCAGGAGGGCTTCGACGTCACTTACCTCCCGGTCGGCTCTGACGGTCTCGTCGACATTGAAACCCTAAAAGCCGCAATCCGCCCGGACACCGTTCTCGTTTCGATCATGACCGTTAATAATGAGATTGGTGTCATCCAGCCGCTCGCTGAAATCGGGCAGCTTTGCCGTGCAAACAAAATATTTTTCCACACCGACGCAGCTCAGGCGGCGGGAAAGATCCCGCTAAGTGTCGACGAGCTAAGCATCGATCTTCTCTCGCTTAGCAGCCATAAGATCTACGGTCCGAAGGGGGTTGGCGCGTTGTACGTGCGCCGCCGACCGAGAGTCAGGCTCGAGCCTCAGATGAGTGGTGGAGGCCAGGAACGGGGTCTCAGGTCCGGTACCGTGCCTACCCCGCTGGTGGTCGGGCTAGGGGCGGCATGCGCCGTCGCCGAAGCTGAACTAGAACGCGATTACCGCCACGCGGAGCGCTTAAAGGAGAGGCTTTTAAAGGGGATAACGTCGCAGCTGGAAGGGGTGGTGATCAACGGCTCTGATGAACCCGGGAAGCGGTACCCGGGCAATCTGAACCTTTCATTTGCGTATGTGGAGGGGGAGAGTCTGCTGATGGGGTTGAAGGAGATTGCAGTGTCGAGTGGCAGTGCGTGCACGAGTGCGAGTCTCGAACCGAGTTACGTGCTGCGGGCGCTGGGCGTGGAAGATGAGATGGCTCATACCTCTATCCGATTTGGATTCGGCCGGTTTACCACAGAAGAGGAAGTGGACAGGTGAGGTTCAGGGCTGGTGGTGGTGTGGGTTGCTGTAGGTAAGCAGCAGGAGGTAAGCAAGACAGGTATGTGGAGGGGGAGAGCCTGCGATGGGGTTGAAGGAGATTGCGGTGTCAAGTGGCAGTGCGTGCACGAGTGCGAGTTTGGAGCCGAGCTATGTGCTGCGGGCGCTGGGCGTGGAAGATGAGATGGCTCATACGTCGATTCGGTTTGGATTCGGGCGATTTACGACCGAATAAGAGGTGGACAGGTGAGTTTTAGGGCTGGCGGTGTTGTGGGTAGCAGCAGGTGAGCAGCAGGCACGGGGTCTGGGGTTGAAGGAGATTGCGGTGTCGTGTGGGAGTGCGTGCACGAGCGCGAGTCTCGAGCCCAGCTATGTGCTGCGGGCGCTGGGAGTAGAGGAGGAGATGGCTCATACTTCCATTCGATTCGGATTCGGGAGGTTCACGACAGAAGAGGAGGTGGACAGGTGAGCGTAATCCAAGGGTGGGTGGTTAGTAATAGGGCAGCTCTGTGCTGCGGGCGCTGGGAGTGGAGGAGGAGATGGCTCATACTTCCATCCGGTTCGGGTTCGGGCGATTCACGACCGAAGAGGAGGTGGACAGGTGAGCGAGAGTGGGAGCTGAGTGTGGTGTGGGCAGGAGCAGGTGAGCAGCAGCACAGGACTCTCAGGTATGCGCACCCGCTGGTGCTATGTGCTGTGAGCGCTGGGCGTGGAGGATGAGATGGCTCATACGTCGATTCGGTTTGGATTTGGGCGATTCACCACTGAAGAGGAGGTGGTCAGGTGAGAGTGGGTAAGGAGTGAGTGGTTCGCAGTGGGACAGATGTGCTGCGGGCGCTGGGCGTGGAGGAGGAGATGGCTCATACCTCCATTCGGTTTGGGTTTGGAAAGTTCACCACTGAAGAGGAGGTGGACAGGTGAGAGTGGGGGCTGAGGGTGGCGTGGGGAGCTGTGCCAGTAGGAAAGCTTGCACTGGGCGTGGAGGAGGCGATGGCTCATACCTCCATTCGGTTCGGGTTTGGAAGGTTTACGACCGAAGAAGAGGTGGACAGGTGAGATTGTGGGCTGAGGGTGGCGTGGGCAGGAGCAGTTGAGCAGCAGCAGGTATGCGCTGCGTCTGCGTTGATCGAAAACGATTTAGAATGGGTAGCACAGTGAGCATGGTTATGAACTCGGGTATTGATGGGCATGGGCATTGGGATGAGCATTGGAAGATTTGACCATAGCTCCTGGCATGATACGGTAACTGTTTCTATCGTCTCGTCTCGTGGCATTGTTACTGTCCCTTTCCCATGCAGGGCTGTGGCGTTGACAGTGCATCAGGTGCAGAGGCTGAGGGACATGAGTCCGCTGTGGGAGATGGTGCAGGAAGGCATCGACATCAAGACCATCCAGTGGTCGCAGCACTGATCAGATTATAATTTTGGCAATAATGTTAGACTTCCTGAAGAGGCTGGATGATTGCACTAGATGTTACGGTTGCCATTACTTCGGTATCGTTGCAGTGTTTGACTGTACATGAAGAATTGATGTTTCCACCTTGATCTTAGTCAGTTTCAATAGGTGCTAGCGGTGATACGGTTGTATTTGTATTGTTCATATTTTTTGGCGATCAAAGCAGCATAACGAGTGTGCTTGCTTGAGATGTTTCGCCTTTGCTGGGCAACTTCTTTTCGTGGACACATCCTCGCAAGCCTCGTCAGCCGCAGCCACGTGCTCCTACGCTTCTGGCCATGCCAAGCCTCCACGTTTGCTGATATTTCCCGATTCGCGGACAGTCTGCGAGCCGAGCCTGGGAAGCTCGGAAGGAAGTGGTCCAGGAGACACGTGGCGTGCTTGGATTGGGGATTCTTTCCAGAAGCTGGGGAGGGCTGGGCTTGTGGCGGAATCTTGCCTGGCTCGTGTTGTGTGCTTCGGCACAAAATCTCGAGGACCAGCATCATCATTGAGGCTGTGTCGAATCTCGTTCTCGGCACACCAAACCGCTCTCCACCGCATGTCCGCACATTTCCGTACCTTTTCACGCAACGTCGATGATTATGGTTCATAACGCTTTGGGTGCATTTCTGTGCGCTTACCATACGGTTCTTTGCGGTGGTGGCCTGACCTGTGAATGAACTACAGTACACAGCTCCAGTGCATGGAGATTATCCCCCTAGAACTTGTCTCTTGAGACAAAGACGACTTCTCCTAGGTTCCTCAGCCTGGGTCAGCTGGGGAGAAGCTGAGAGCTCAGCTTTCGTTACGCCGTGCTTCACGGCACCTAATCTGCTTCGGGGTAGTTCCTAGGCTCCTGTCCCGTTGCCTCTTCACCTGTCGTTTGCGTCATCTCCCACTCGCCCAACCCATTGGTTTACCTACATTGCAGTTTCGTGGGAGTTTCACACAACCAACCCGTCCATCCAACTACCAGCACCGCCTCTCGCTCAATCATACGATCACTCCGTTGCTCATCTCCACACATTTTTTTCCTTTCAAACCACGCGAGTAGAACAGGTCTCGGACCGTCTAGTCAACACCCCACAGCTGGCGAGAGTCCAAGGGTGATTCACTTGGCGGTGGATTTTAGGGTTGGTAGTGCTCGACTTCTCGCGCAGCATGTGGAAGGCAGCAGCGAGTCGCCTGATCCCCGCCGCTCTTCGCGCGCAGCGGGGAGCGTCGTCGCACGCTAATGGCATTCGCAGCGCGCCGTTTCTCGGGCGAATGATGTCCTCGCAGGTGCGTGCGACTTCTTAATACTATTCTTCTTACATCGATTCCCCCGCAATCTGCGCCGACTCTCAGTGGTTTCTGAGCCGACGAGGCAAAATGGATGCAATAAGCCACGATCGATCCCTCCGCCTGTATTCTTCTTATCGCCTTGCCTTTTCCGTGCACTTAGCGTTTCCATCTGGACGCTCGTTCTTGACTTCCGATCTGACTTAGATCTCGCACAGATAGGTCTCGCGTCTACTCTTGACATTCTTCTTAGAACCAGATTTCCAGGTGTCCATTTCAGAACTCGTTTTTCAAACGTCCCGTCTTGGTTCTTTTAAAAATATATTGTTTTAGACGTGTCTGTCTCTCTGAATGAGGAGGTCCTGGCGGAGACGCCTTGATGCTCGATGCCAGTGACGGGAAATGAGAGATGATACAGATTCATTCATTTCACGCAAGTCCTTCACCTTGGTTACGATCGGATCTGGTTGCACCAGTTTTAATGTACTTTAGTATTCCGACCTTGTTTCGCATCCCCTGACTTCCGCCGTCTCCCGTAGTACGCGGTGGTGGTGGTGGCGGGCATTGCTGCTATCATCCCGCACCCCTTTGTTTCATCCCACAACTCTATGTACCACTCCGCATCCCGCCGTATCACTCTGTCATCAGGCGTACCCAGTGATCGACCACACGTACGACGCGGTGGTGGTGGGGGCGGGCGGGGCGGGGCTGCGGGCGGCCATTGGGCTGTCGGAGAGCGGATTTAACACGGCCTGCATCACCAAGCTCTTCCCCACGCGCTCGCACACTGTCGCCGCACAGGTGGGCTAGCTGGTCGCACACAGTCGCCAGGGTCGCTCGAAGTCGCCAAGGTCGCACACAGTCGCCAGGGTCGCACACAGTCGCCAGGGTCGCACACAGTCGCCAGGGTCGCACACAGTCGCCAGGGACGCTCACAGTCGTCAGGGTCGCACGCACTCGCGGTTGAGGGCGGCCATTGGACTGTCGGAGAGCGGATTTAACACGGCCTGCATCACCAAGCTCTTCCCCACGCGCTCGCACACCGCCCCCGCGCAGGTGGGCTAGCTGGTCGCACACAGTCGCCAGGGTCGCTCAAAGTCTCTACAGTCGCACACAGTCGCCAGGGTCGCACACAGTCGCCAGGGTCGCACACAGTCGCCGAGGTCGCACACAGTCGCCAGGGTCGCACACAGTCGCCAGGGTCACACACAGTCGCAGGGTCGCACACAGTCGCAGGGTCGCACACAGTCGCCAGGGTCGCTCACAGTCGCCAAGGTCGCTCACAGTCGCCAGGGACGCACATAGTCTCCCGGGACTTTGTGGCTTGAACACGGCCCGCATCACCAAACTCCTTCCCACGCGCTCGCAGCTCTTTCAATATTCCTTCCTCCGCCGCTAACCTCATCCCTCCCCACTCCCTGGCGCTCCTTCTTCAGTATCAGGTCGGCATCAACACATCTCTCTCGATAGTCTTACCCCCCGTTCCCACTTTCCCCCTCCTCCGCACTCCCCACTTCCCCTCCCCCACTCCCCCCCTCCCCCTCTCCCCCTCTTTTCCCCTTTCCCCCTCCCCCCACTCCGTGCGTGCATCAGGGCGGCATCAACGCGGCGCTGGGAAACATGACAGAGGACGACTGGCGCTGGCACATGTACGACACCGTCAAGGGCAGCGACTGGCTCGGTGAGTGGTAGTGCAGTGCGGTGGAAGGTGGTGTGCGGGTGTGGTGAGTGGTGCTGTGCGGTGGGGTGCGATGGTATGTGGTAGTATGCGGTTGGGCGGTGTTTGAAGGTGTGGGCGGTGGGAACATTAACGCGGTTCTGGGCAACATGACAGAGGACGACTGGCGCTGGCACATGTACGACACCGTCAAGGGCAGCGACTGGCTCGGTGAGTGGTAGTGCAGTGCGGTGGGATTCAGTGCGCGGGGTGGTGTGAGAGATGGAATGCAGTGGGGTGAGTGGGGATGGTTGAAGCAACGGGCGCGATTCAGTACATGTGCGAGCGTGTGTTAAAAAAAAAAAAAAAAAAAAAAAAAAAAAAAACGCTCGAACATGTGCGAGCAGGCGCCCAAGGCGGTGATAGAGCTGGAGCACTACGGGCTGCCCTTCTCCTCTCCACCTCTATTCTTCTATGCTGTAACTCACTCTTGTCCCCCCATGTGCAGGCGACCAGGACGCGATTCAGTACATGTGCGAGCAGGCGCCCAAGGCGGTGATCGAATTGGAGCACTACGGGCTGCCCTTCTCCTCGCCGCCTCTTCGCCTATGTGTCGCCCTTCTCTCTTCACAACCCCCCTTTCTCCCCTCCCTCTCCCTTCCCCCCCCCCCCCTCTTCCCCCCCACACACCCCACAGGCGACCAGGACGCGATTCAGTACATGTGCGAGCAGGCCCCCAAGGCAGTGATAGGGCTGGAGCATTGAGCTCTCCGTGTCTCTCCTCCAACTCTTCTCCCTCGTGTTGCGCTCCCCCTTCCCTGCACACAAACATGCACTGCGCACACGTCCATGCAGGCGACCAGGACGCGATTCAGTACATGTGTGAGCAGGCGCTCAAGGCGGTGATAGAGCTGGAGCACTACGGGCTGCCCTTCTCTCCTTCACTTTTCCTCCCTCGTGTTGTGCTTCTCTCTCTTCCCACCCTGTTTTCCCTCCCCTCCAGGCGACCAGGACGCCATTCAGTACATGTGCGAGCAGGCGCCCAAGGCGGTGATAGAGCTGGAGCATTACGGGCTGCCCTTCTCTCGCACTGATGATGGCCGCATCTACCAGCGCGCCTTCGGAGGACAGAGCCTGGACTTTGGCAAGGGCGGACAGGCGTACAGGTGGGTGGGGAGCGGTGGAGAGGCGGGCAGGTGGGTGCTGAGGGGCTGGCAGGCGTACAGGTGGTTGGGGAGAGGTGGGAGAGATGATCCATGTGCAGCGGATCGCATGGGACATGCGCTGCTGCACTACACATACTGTACGGGCATGCCATGAAGCACAGCTACAGTCTTGTGCTGCTGCGCTATAAACTGAGCATACTTCATGTTCTGACTGCCCCGTTGCTTCGTCTCCTCCCTCTCTGCCTCTATTCCAGGTGTGCGTGTGCAGCGGATCGCACGGGGCATGCGCTGCTGCACACTCTGTACGGGCAGGCCATGAAGCACAACACTCAGTTTTTCGTGGAGTACTTTGCACTCGACCTGATCATGGACAAGGAGGGTGAGTTGGGCTTTGAGACATGGAGTGTTGAGTGTAGAGGAGGCATCTCAAGAGCCAGGCAGGCAGGCGTTAAACACAACAGTTTTTCGTGGAGTACTTTGCGCTCGATCTTATCATGGACAAGGAGGGTGAGTTGGGAGAGAGACGTCTCATATCAGCAATGCGGTATGGGGCTAAGGCTGGGCAGGGAAGGCAGGCCATGGGTGAAGCACAACACGCAGTTTTTTGTGCAGTAATTTGCGCTCGATCTGATCATGGACAAGTAGGGTGAGTTGGGTTTGTGAGACGGCTTAGATGTGAACTGTGCGATTGCAATAGTGAGGACCGGATAGAGCAATTCAGTGTTGAGACGAATTCACTGGCAGGCAGGCCATGAAGCACTTGCTTCATGCAGGCAGGCAGGCAGCATGCGGTACGTTGTGGAGTACTGTGCCCTTGACCTGATCATGGACCAGGAAGGTGAGTTGATCTCAAGTGTAGAGACACGTATTGAGATGGGGTGCTGAGTGCTATGAGACGTGGGCCAGGCAGGCGGGCTGGCAGGCAGGCCATGAAGCACAGCATGCAGCAGTATGTTGGGAAGTAATTTGCCCTTGACCTGATCATGGACCATGGCATAATGGCATGAGCTGAGTTCTGAGACGTGGAGAGTTGAGACATGTTTCGTTTCGGACAGGCCATGAAGCACAGCACATTGATAAGCACACGGATCGTACGCATATATGCGAATGTGACTGTATCGTGAATGTGGCTGTATCATGAATGTGTCTGTAACTCGAATGTCACTGTATCATGCGCATTACTGTACCAGGTGCCTGTCGGGGAGTGATCGCGCTGAACATGGAGGATGGCACGCTGCACCGCTTCCGATCCAACTCCACCATTCTGGCTACCGGGGTGAGTAAAGCCCTGTAGTAGCTCTGTCGCTCTGTTGTGTGCATGGGCCATCCGTTCCACCCTTCTTCTCCCTCCTCCTGCTCTCAACATGGAGGATGGCATGCCACACTGCTTCCCATCCAACTCCACCATTCTCGCCACCGGGGTGAGTCCTTGGACCTTGCTGCTTGACTTGAGTCCTTGTAAGTACGGCCCGTCCGTTCTCCTCCTCCCTCCTCCTGCTCTCAACATGGAGGATGGCATGCCACACTGCTTCCCATCCAACTCCACTCTCTCGCCATTCCCTCACGCACCTTGTCCAGCTCTCTCTCCCTGCTTCGCTCCCTCTCCTTCCCCACCCCTCTTCCCCTCTCACCCACTCCTGTCCTCTCCTTTCAGGGCTACGGGCGCGCCTATTTCTCTGCCACGTCAGCACACACGTGTACCGGCGACGGCAACGCCATGGTGGCGCGTGCGGGGCTGCCGCTGCGCTCTCTCTCCTCTCTCTAACCCACCTTGCTATGGTGTGAACACAGGGACTTACTCACTCACTCACTCACGTTGTCCCTCCCCCATTCCCCCACTCTCCCCTCCCCTCCCTCTCCCCTTTCTCTCCCCTCCTCCTCAATCTGCCCTCCCCTTCAGGGGTACGGGCGTGCCTATTTCTCTGCCACGTCAGCACACACGTGTACCGGCGACGGCAACGCCATGGTGGCGCGTGCGGGGCTGCCCCTGCAGGACCTGGAGTTCGTGCAGTTCCACCCCACTGGGATTTATGGAGCTGGTTGCCTTATCACCGAAGGTACAATTGCCTTATCACGCCAGGTGCAAGTGTCTTATCGGGCAGTGTGGACACCTGTCGAGGTGAGTGCCGGGCTACCCCTGCAGGACCTGGAGTTCGTGCAGTTCCCCCCCACCGGCGTTTATGGTGCCGGTTGGTTGCCTTATCACCGAAGGTATGACTGCCTTATCGCTCAGAGCATAAGTGACTTATCGCTGAGTGTTGAGTGTGCCCACAAGCTCTGGTGCCTCTGCAGTTCCTTGAGTTCGTGCAGTTCCACCCCACCGTGGTCTATGGTGCCCGGGCAGGGGAGAGAAAAAAAAAATACTTGATCCGCTGTTGCTCGCTCCCCTGTTGCCTGTCCCCCCTCCCACCCCCCAGGTTTGCGAGGAGAGGAAGGAATCTTGCGCAACAGCGAGGGCGAGCGGTTCATGGAGCGATACGGCCCCACAGCCAAGGACCTGGCGTGACTATCACCTGTTTGTTATCCCTAATCCACAGGGTCGCGTGGAGAGGGAGGAATCCTGCGCAACAGCGAGGGCGAGCGGTTCATGGAGCGCTATGCCCCAACAGCCAAGGACCTGGCGTCCCGGGACGTTGTCTCCCGCAGCATGACCATGGAGATCCGTGAGGGGCGCGGGTGCTGTGTGGTGTGGGCCCCTAAGGGACCACATCTACCTGCCCGCCTTAGAGAGTGCTGCCCGCACACCACTCCCTCCCCTGACTCCTTCCCTCCTTCCCTGCTTCCCTGCTTCCCTGTTTCCTGTTGCCTCTGCCCCCTTCCATCCCACAGGGTCGCGTGGAGAAGGAGGAATTTTGCGCAACAACGAGGGAGAGCGGTTCATGGAGCGATATGCCCCAACAGCCAAGGACCTGGCGTCCCGCGACGTCGTCTCCCGAAGCATGACCATGGAGATCCGTGAGGGGCGCGGGTGCGGCCCTTTGAAGGACCACATCTATCTCCATCTGGACCATCTGCCCCCTGAAGTGCTCAAGGAGCGTCTGCCTGGGATCAGCGAGACTGCCGCGATTTTCGCTGGCGTTGATGTGACGAAAGAGCCGATCCCGGTGCTGCCGACGGTGCACTATAACATGGGAGGCATTCCGACGAACTATCATGGCGAGGTGAGACTGAGAGCGGGAGGGAGGGAGGCAGATAGAGAGGGAGCAGAGGGAGAGGGAGGGGGTGTGTGAGGCAGAGGGTGCGGGCCCCTCAAGGACCACATCTACCTGCATCTGGACCATCTGCCTTGGGACCACTCACTGCCCACGCCACTCCCTTCACTAAGGGCGTGGCTGCGGGCCCCTCAAGGACCACATCTATCTCCATCTGGACCATCTGCCCCCTGAAGTGCTCAAGGAGCGTCTGCCTGGGATCAGCGAGACTGCCGCGATTTTCGCTGGCGTTGATGTGACGAAAGAGCCGATCCCGGTGCTGCCAACGGTGCACTATAACATGGGAGGCATTCCGACCAACTACCATGGGGAGGTGAGAGAGAAGCAGGAGAGGTGAGTGGGAAAGGAGAGCACATACGCAGTAGGAGAGAGAAAGGGAGTGACCAAGGAGCCGATTCCCGTGCTGCCGACGGTGCACTATAACATGGGCGGCATCCCCACCAACTTCCATGGGGAGGTGAGGAGCGTGAGGGATAGAGTTGAGACCAAGGGCGATCTTTGCAGGCGTGGATGTGACGAAAGAGCCGATCCCCGTGCTGCCGACGGTGCACTATTACATGGGCGGCATCCCCACCAACTACCATGGGGAGGTGAGAGAGAATCAGGAGAGGGGAGAGAGAAGCAGGAGAGGGGAGAGAGAAGCAGGAGAGGGGAGAGAGAAGCAGGAGAGGGGAGAGAGAAGCAGGAGAGGGGAGAGAGAAGCAGGAGAGGGGAGAGAGAAGCAGGAGAGGGGAGAGAGAAGGACCAGAGAGAAGCAAGGAGAGCCAGGGCCTTAAGTACAAGGGCAAGGGGGCAGGGGGCAGGCTAAGGTCTCTCCTTTCTCTCTCGCTAGGCTACTTGTGAAGTAATGAACACAAGACCAGAATAATGAACCCGGCCTCATGACTTTTGAGGCCGAACCCGTACTGCAGCCCTTCGAATTCTGAGTCAGAATGAACACAAGACCAGAATAATGAACCCGGCCTCATGACTTTTGAGGCCGAACCCGTACTGCAGCCCTTCGAATTCTGAGTCAGAATGAACACAAGACCAGAATAATGAACCCGGCCTCATGGCAGCAGGGCAGGTGGCGTGTGCATCATTGCACGGGGCCAACCAACCGACTGGGTTTAACAGCCCCTCGTTTTCTTCCTCCTTGCCCCTCCTTTTGCCTCCTTTTCCCCTCCTTTCCTCTACTTTTCCCTCCTTTCCCCTCCTTTTCCCTCCTTTCCCCTCCTTTCCCCTCCTTTCCCCTCCTTTCCCTGTCAACCACCCTGTTTGCCTGTCCTTTGAACCAGGTGGTAGCACCCAAGGCGGATAACCCTGATGTGGTCGTGCCAGGCCTCATGGCAGCAGGGGAGATCGCTCAACCCTCTTCCCTACCCTCATGTACCCGTTTGTTTTCCTCATATGCTGCTGCCAGGTGGTAGCACCCAAGGGGGATAACCCTGATGCGGTCGTGCCAGGCCTCATGGCAGCAGGGGAGGCGGCGTGTGCATCGGTGCATGGGGCCAACCACCTCTCATTCCCTCCCTTCCCCCCCATGTATCTCTGTTCCTTTGTATCAGGTGGTAGCACCCAAGGGGGATAACCCTGATGTGGTCGTGCCAGGCCTCATGGCAGCAGGGGAGGCGGCGTGTGCATCGGTGCACGGGGCCAACCGCCTGGGCGCCAACAGCCTGCTGGATATCGTGGTGTTCGGCCGGGCGTGTGCTAACAGGGTGGCTGAGATTCACAAGCCAGGTGCGAGGGAGAGTGATGGTGTGTGTGTCCATGCATAAGAGTGCGTGTGCATCAGTGCACGGGGGGAACCGTCTGGGCGCCAACAGCCTGTGGACATTGTGGTGTTTGGACGAGCCTGCGCCAACAGAGAGGCGGAGATTCACAAGCCAGGTGGGTGTGAGTATGGCTGTGTGCCTCCTTTGGCTGCAAGATACGGGGCCTGGGATGTCTGTCTGGGCGCCAACTGCCTGCTGGACATTGTGGTGTTTGGACGAGCCTGCGCCAACAGAGAGGCCGTTTTCGCCTCTTCTTACCCTGCTCTGCTCCTCTCCTCTGCCTCCTCCTCACACACATGACTGCAGGTGCACCACAGCCTCCTCTGCCAGCGGATGCGGGGCAGAAGACGATTGAGTGGATGGACAGGCTGCGATACGCCAAGGGCGAGCTCAGCACGGCCAAGATCCGAGGGAACATGCAGCGAGTGATGCAGAACAACGCCGCTGTGTTCCGCACGCAGGAGACCCTGGCGGAAGGTGGGTGGGTGGGTGGGGTACATGGGATGGTGGGACACAGAGAGAGAGCTGATCTCGCTGCTTGTTGCAAGGCTTGAGGGACACGCAGCAAGCTCAGCACGGCCAAGATCCACGGCAACATGCAGCGCGTCATGCAGAATAATGCTGCTGTGTTCCGCACCCAGGAGACTCTGGCGGAAGGTGAGAGACTGGGGCAGGTGGGATGGGGAAATAAGGCTTGAGGGAGCATGCAGAGAGCTCAGCACGGCCAAGATCCGAGGGAACATGCAGCGCGTGATGCAGAACAACGCTGCTGTGTTCCGCACCCAGCAGACTCTGGCGGAAGGTGCGTGTGTAGGGGGGGGGTGAGGATTCAGTATATTCTGTGGGGATGTTGGACTGCGGGAAGTGAGATGGGTAAAGGCTTGACAGACCTCACAGTGAGCTCAGCACGGGCAAGATCCGAGGCAACATGCAGCGCATGATGCAGAACAACGCTGCTGTGTTCCGCACCCAGGAGACCCTGGCGGAAGGTAGGCTCTTGTGGGAGGTGGTATGGGTGTACGTAGGCTGGAGTGAGCACACAGAGAGCTGAGCTGAGGGGACATGCAGCGCGTGATGCAGAACAATGCTGCTGTGTTCCGCACGCAGGAGACCCTGGCAGAAGGTAGGTCTGGGTAGGACTGGGGGAGGCGCAGGTGGCTTTGGAGGTGAGGGAGTGGACAGGGGAAGCAGGCTTGAGGGGACGTGCAGAGAGCTCGGCACGGCCAAGATCCGAGGCAACATGCAGAGGGTCATGCAGAACAATGCTGCTGTGTTCCGCACGCAGGAGACCCTGGCAGAAGGTAGGTCTGGGTAGGACTGGGGGAGGCGCAGGTGGCTTTGGAGGTGAGGGAGTGGACAGGGGAAGCAGGCTTGAGGGGACGTGCAGAGAGCTCGGCACGGCCAAGATCCGAGGCAACATGCAGAGGGTCATGCAGAACAATGCTGCTGTGTTCCGCACGCAGGAGACCCTGGCAGAAGGTAGGTCTGGGTAGGACTGGGGGAGGCGCAGGTGGCTTTGGAGGTGAGGGAGTGGACAGGGGAAGCAGGCTTGAGGGGACGTGCAGAGAGCTCGGCACGGCCAAGATCCGAGGCAACATGCAGAGGGTCATGCAGAACAATGCTGCTGTGTTCCGCACCCAGGAGACTCTGGCGGAAGGTCGGTGTGTGGGGTAGATGGGATGGGGGGACCACAGAAAGATCTGAGCTTGCTGCTTGTTGCAAGGCTTGAGGGAGGGAGCATGCAGTGAGCTCACTCACCTTGACTCATTGTTCGAAGGGCTGCAGTAGTTGAAAAACGCTTAAGCAAAGGAACAACAGTGAAAAAACAGTGTGAAAAAGGCAGATCTGGAAAACCCTTGTAGCAAGGCTTGAGGGAGGGAGCATGCAGTGAGCTCACTTCGCACGACCAAGATCTGGGGTCGACTCAGTGAGCTCATGAGGTGACTTTTGAGTCGACTCAAAAGTCACCTCGTTAGCACGACCAAGATCCGGGGCAAGATGCGGTGGGTCATGCAGAACAACGAACGCCGGCGTGTTCCGCACCAGCTTGGTGTGGAGCATGGACCTGGTGGAAACGATGGAGCTGGATAAGAGGAGAATTCTACTTGCCGCTTTTGCCAATCCCTCCCCCTTTGCTCACACACACGCCCACACCCATTCATGCACAGGTTGTGAGCTGATTGACGAAACCTGGGAGTCGTTCAAGAAAGTGGGGGTGACGGATCGTAGCCTGGTGTGGAACACTGACCTCGTGGAAACGATGGAGCTGGAGAATCAGTCAGTCACCCCACTTGCGACTTTTGCCACTCCCTTCCTGTTCTCTCCCGTGCCCATGCCCATGCCCACACAGGCTGTGAGCTCATAGACGAAACCTGGAAATCATTTGAGCAAGTGGGGGTGACGGATCGTAGCCTGGTGTGGAACACTGACCTCGTGGAAACGATGGAGCTGGAGAATCAGTCAGTCACCCCACTTGCGACTTTTGCCACTCCCTTCCTGTTCTCTCCCGTGCCCATGCCCATGCCCACACAGGCTGTGAGCTCATAGACGTAACCTGGAAATCATTTGAGCAAGTGGGAGTGACGGATCGTAGCCTGGTGTGGAACACTGACCTCGTGGAAACGATGGAGCTGGAGAATCAGTCAGTCACCCCACTTGCGACTTTTGCCACTCCCTTCCTGTTCTCTCCCGTGCCCATGCCCATGCCCACACAGGCTGTGAGCTCATAGACGAAACCTGGAAATCATTTGAGCAAGTGGGGGTGACGGATCGTAGCCTGGTGTGGAACACTGACCTCGTGGAAACGATGGAGCTGGAGAATCGATCACTCCCCCCTTGCCACTTGCCACTTCCTCCTCTCTTTCTCATTCCCATGCACTGACAGGGTGCGAGTTGATTGACGAGACATGGAAGTCGTTCGAGCAAGTGGGGGTGACGGATCGCAGCCTGGTGTGGAACACTGACCTCGTGGAAACAATGGAGCTGGAGAATCTGCTCACCAACGCGCTCATCACCATGCACTCTGCTGAGGCGAGGAAGGAGAGCAGAGGGGCGCATGCTAGGGAGGACTTCCCGGTGAGTGCCCTTTCGAGTTTTGACAGGAATGTTTTATAGCTACCTCTGGTGAGAGCATGCACACACCCCCCTCTCTCTGCTCACCAACGCGCTCATCACCATGCACTCTGCTGAGGCAAGGAAGGAGAGCAGAGGGCCACACGCCAGGGAGGACTTCCCGGTGAGTGGCCTCGGTATCTTTCTCTGACCAAGAATAATGGATACCTTTCTCTGGTGAGAGCATGCACACAGAAGGAGAGCAGAGGGGCACACGCACGGGAGGACTTCCCGGTGAGTGATCGTGGATTCTGCATAAGTCTATGTTTGTCCTCTTAAATGGCCCGTCGTTTCTTCTTTGGGATGTCGCGAAACTGCTTCTTTTTCCATGTAACTCTTTTCGCCCCGTCGAACTTCTAAGAAGTTAATCTCCTACTCACCACTCACTTTTTCTCACTCACACACACTTCTCACTTTCCTCACCCACTCACTTTCTCTAACTCCTTACCACCCCGTGTCCACTCTTGCCCTCCCTTGGCCGCCTGTTGTACCTTGCAGAGCCGTGATGACACCAACTGGATGAAGCACACTGTCGGGTATAGTCACACTCTTTTTCGTCACCCCTTCTCCTTTCCTTCTCTCCCATCTGCTCATTCCAGCTTGTTTACAAACCGTTTGTAGGCCGTACTGTTGGTTGATTCGCTTGTTGTTGCCCCTGTCACACTTCATGCTCCTAGTCCTGTTTCTGATCACCTAGATAGCACCTTATCGTTGCTCACCTTCTTGGCTCTCGGTGTCCTTGCATGGTTCAGGTATTGGGATGACGGCAAGGTTAAGCTTGATTATCGTCCGGTGCACCTGAACACTCTTGACGATCAAGTGCAGACCTTCCCACCCAAGGCTCGGGTGTACTAAATCAACTCTTCGGCGACCAAAGAAACCGCTTAGTATGGACATGCTACCATGAAATAGCCCTGTTGTGGCTGATGTGCTGTGCCCCTACTGCCAATTGTGGCGTACAGGTGTCTTGAGTTGGAATATCAATGGAATGTAGCAACCTACTCCCACATTACTCTAAATAAATTACTAGTGTAGAAAATGTTGCGTTTGTTTTTGTTACACCTCGTAACCACCCTTAAAATCTGCAGATTTGCAGGGGCTTGGTCGAACCGCGAGGATGGCCTTCACCTCCCGGATTCCTCCAAACCCATCCGCACCGTCCAAATTTCGATGCCGCGTTTATGAAAACCGCCGCCCCTCGGTGCTACACGCCAGCGACTTCGCCATGACACCATCGATATCGACCGTCGATCCTTTAAATAGGGGCTCTGCTGGCTTGCTGACCGTCGGACTTGGCCCCTCCTTACATATCAACCGTCCCCGCACGCGACTCCGTCGTTCCTGCCTCCCTCCTCCTCACTCCCCTTCGCCACTTCTCTCGTGTCGGCGGTCGGAAAGATTCACTTGCCTCGCTAGCCCCGTGTTACTGGATTCACGAACTTGGCTTTTCGTGCGAATTTCGAGCATTCCGCCGCCATCGATTGCAGACCACTGAAAAAGGCTTCTTTGTGCGTCAGACTCAGCATTTCCAACTCTTCTGCAACTGGTAAATTCGAGTGGAGGACGATGCCGCCGAACGCGTGGCAGGATTCGGTATCAGTCGATGAAGCAGTGGATGGTGCTAAGCCGTTGATTGACTACGAAACGTCTCGGAACCATGCAGCAGAATTAGCAGAACCAGCGGACGAGTTAGCTAAGGCATCAGTGGATTTAGCTCCGTCACGAGAACCCGCGGAATTAGCGGAGCTCTGCAGCGTGAACCACGCGGCAAGGTCACAGAACGGCACGATTATCGAAGCAGGCAGCCAGAATCTTTGCCGGCCTGAAGAATGTTACGAAGCTCCACGATTTTCGCGAATGGCGTGGCTCTTTTGCACGCCCGCCCTCATCCCCTGGCGTTACGCGAGTTCAGCAAACCCGGACCTTCCCACTCACTCCTCCTCCCCTGACGTGTCACATCCTACTGACGTCGAAAGAATTTCCGAATCTCCGCAGATGCTGCTCAGGTCACAGATTCTGACGTGGCATTGGCGCGTTGCAGTGCAAAAACTACTACCCAGCGACACAAAAACAACGAGACAGCAGAATCTCAGGGAATATCTCCCGCTGCTGTTGCTGCTCCTAGCGGTGCTTCTGGCGGCTGTTGCGTTCCGCATGGGCCAGACTCGGGGTGCTATCCTCGCTTTAGGCGGGTTCGCTAAGCCGCATGGGGCAGCTGTATGGCTGCAAGCGACTGATGATGTTCGCATGGGGTATACGAGTACTAGTGATGCGGGTAACAGTACCAGCGATTTATCGTCGATCGCTGACACCTTGCCACCAACCTCCGCCACTCCCTTTCCCCCTCCCGCACCCTCCGCCGCTCCCGTTTCCCCCCTTCCTCCTCCGCTCATCCCCGGCTCCCGCGTGCGCTCGCCTGCGCATCTTACGCTGCTGCGGCGGCGCTGGCGCTGCTTGAGCGCTCGCGGGAAGTGGGTGCTTCCGCTCGCCCCCCGACTTCTGCCGTGGTCGCGGAAGCAGAGCCACAGAAGCGAGTGGGAATGTGACGACCGTTGGATCAACACGCCCGGCCACGTGGCGTTCCGGGACGCGGATGTGATTGCAGCGAAGGCGATAGCAGCGAAGCGTGGGGTGGGTTTTGCGCGGATTGGGGAAGGGAGAAGGGGGAGAGGGAGAATGTTTGCAGACAGAGGGGCGATGACGGATGCGGAAGGTAGGGCGAGGGGACAGGGGGGAGATGGACGCATGAGACAAGGGCGGGGAAAGCGGCGGCTAAAAGAAGCAGGGTCAGGAGTAGAGGCAGAAGAAGGAGCGGCAGCAGAGGCAGCAGGAGAGGCAGCAGCAGAGGGAGCAGGAGGAGGAGCAGCAGAGGCTGCAGCAGAAAGTGCAGGAGGGCGAGCAGCAGGAGTGAACGGGACAGTAGGGGGGTTTGAGAGTCAGTGGAACGTTCGTCCAGCTGCTAAGTACCAGTGGGAGGTGGAGAGCGGTGAGTGCGGAGAATGGAGGGATGTGGATGGGTTGAGACTTGCTGCGAAGCTGGCAGGGACGAAGGTGCTTATAGTGGGGGATTCGATTAATCACATTCTGTATTCTGCCCTGCGCAATCAGTTTCGCATGGTGGCCACGAGAGCAGAGCTGGGGCTGATGAGTGAAGTAGCGTCGGCATCACCATCAGCAGCAGAAGTAGAAGAAGATCTACAAGCAGCAGAAGCAGCAGGTGCAACAACAGCACGAGAAGCAGATGTAACAGCAGCAGCAGCAGTTGTACCTCAATTTCTAGGACCACTATCATCAGCACCACTGCCACCGTTAGCAGCACCTCCAGCATTGCCACAAGTGACTGGCGTCGTCCCTCGTTTCTGTCACATCCGCACAGGCGACTTCCCCGAGCTGCACAAGCCCCGGTTCCCCCGAGCCTGCGAGGGCTTTGTGTTCCAATCCTCCTCCTCTACCACCATCCCAGCCTTGACAGAAAGCCCGATCAAAACCTCAGCTAACCATTCTCTCAACACCCCAGTCAACAAGGTCAAGGGTCCTCTTGATATCTCAGTGCACGAGGCAGACAAGAACTCTGATAACGTTTTGGTCAACGGATTAATCGACACCTCAACCAGCATTTCGCGCCACGTCTCAGATAACGAAGCAGTCAACAGAGCAGTCAATGGATCAGCCAACGGGCCCGTCGATGGGTCAGTCAGAGTGGCAGTCAAACCCGCGGTCAACGTGTCAGTCAATGAGTCAGTCAAAGAGGCGGTCAACGTGTCAGTGCTCTTCATACGGAACGACGGGCTCCACACAAACGTGGAACCAGCAGTCAACAGCACTTCTAAATCGGCCTACATTCCCTGGCTGGACTTGCTTCAGGAAACCACTGTTCCAGTCTCAGCACGAGCAGCAGAAACACCAGCAGCGGTGGCTGCGGTGGCGGCGGCAGCACATGCGCAACTCTCAAACGAATCTGCACCGTTGATATCCTCTGCAGACTTGGGATCTCCAGGAACACGAGAAACCAACCTAGGCATAACGCCTGTATCAAGTCTTGGGGGGTCTCAAGATTTAACGAGTCCTTCTAACGAAGCTCGATTGACTTTTGAGGAGCAGCTCCTGGTCAATTCGCCAGTGTCAGTTCTGGTTCTGAACCGGGGCGCACATTTTGTGGAGACTTCGCGGTTCTTATCAGAGCTCAATCATACACTTGCTACAGTGCGAGCAGCTGCACCGGATTTGGTTATAATCTACAGAAGCACGCCTCCTGGCCATGATATGTGTAACCTGTACGTGGAACCCCTGAAGGTGCCACAGGACAATGGTGCACTGCCATTTTCCTGGGGAGAGTTTGCGAGGCAGAATGAGGAGGCAAGAAGGTTGGTTGAAGGCATCGGTGGTGTCTTTTTGGATGTTGATGGCATGACTGCGCTTAGGGCTGATGGGCACTTTACTCCGAAGGATTGCTTGCATTACTGCTTGCCAGGACCACCTGATGAATGGGTGAGGTTGCTTTACAATGTGCTGCTTGACTTGCTGTAAATATGTCAGTGTGATCACTTGTGGCAAGGTACCGAAGCTATGAATTGTTATATAGGTGCGAGCAAGTTGATTGCTTATATGGATTGATGGCAGATGTTGGGTTCCAAATTACCATCCAATCTTGATTTCCTATTGCTCGAAGCCACCAAAAATTTCAGAAGGACTCCAGGATGATGTTGAATCGATTCTGGGTTCATTTCTACATTGAGAAAATCCCATCATGTCAATTTTGTAATTCAATCAAGAAGGTACACGACCCTTTTGATTGGGGTTTCTTTCAGTCAATCCAGTGTGCTATATTGGAGAGTTGATTCCCGCTGCAAGATGGAAGGCAAACCCAAGGTGCCACGGCAAGCCCTGAGCTCGCCAATCAAACCACCTCCCTCCAATACAGTACCGTGGTTTTCCCGAATCCCAACAGTCATTGGTGTTTGACGAACCTGGCGAAGTTGGACAGTCGAGATATTATCGGTTCGACGAGAATCGCCAGCGCGAAAACGAGGAAGTTCACACCTTCGCCAAAGCTCAAATGGATCGTGGACCATGGTCCATGAATGTACTGTTGCATGACTCATCCACATGCCTGAAGGCTGTCGGGGGAGGATGTGTGGCGTGGGGAAATAGGGATGAAGGGGACGGAAAGCCAGCAGAAACAAGCCACAATACCTGACGACCAGGTTGGATCAACCTCAGAAACCTTATTACGAAGCGGTAACACGAGTTTCAAAATGATGGAAAGTGAAATTGCTTAGGTGCGGTACGGTAGCAAGTCGAACTTCCCTTTTGAATGCCTACCTCGAGCGAGAGCCATGAAACCAAAAGCAGCAACACTGAAGCAAGATTCAAGCTTTTTCTTGTTAGAAAACTAGGCACTTATCTTTTCCTCCCCCTCTCCCCCCCCCCCTCCTCCCCTCTTCCTCCATTCTACGTACCCCCTGAATGGAGATCTAGGTCTCTAGATAGTTCCTGCCAGGGACACATGCAAGGCAGATACGATTAGCCAATTTACATCTTATTTTCATTTGTTTTAGGTTTTTTTTTTGTTGTTTTTTAATTTCATCCTCGGAATCTCTCGTGAACCCTAATCCGAAGCCTAAGGAGCCATGGCCGGACCGTCGTCCAGCGTCACGCAAGACGGACAAGGTATCCATCTCACGTGTACAATAACAGAAAAACAAGAAACTAAATGTTACGAATTAGTCGCATGTTCGCTATGTACGCTCGAGTGAATTCACTGTTCGTCATCGCTCCTGCTTCTGTGGACCTAATCTCTTGCTGATGATAACTGCTGCGTGCATTCTAGCCGTAATGATTGGCACCAGTCATGTAAACACATTTTGTTTGTTATTTTTCTGGCGGTATTTCCCCGGCTTTCCTGTTTTATTCGCTTTCAACAGCTTCCAGCAAGCCAGAGGGATCCAGCGGCTCTAACGGAGCAGCAGCTCCGACTGCCGCGACTCCATCAGCAGAGGTACATTCGCCTTAATTTCTAAGATTTCTAAGATTGCAACTCGAATTGCGATTCTGATGATTTCGAGAGGGTCTGCTCTTTTCCTCTCCGACCGACGGTTATCAAACCTTTTACTGTTAATGCGCGCGTTTTCCAGGAAAAGTATTCCCTCTTTATATGAGAGAAAATCTTAGTCTCCACGAATCCGCATTCACCTCGTCCGCAAATAATCCTCGAAAGACACTTTATTCCGCGAAAGGTATCAAGCCTCTCCGATCCACGGACCTGACCTGGCAGCGACAAACCAGAAGGCCACCTGATCAACAGCGGCATTTGTAATAAGTTGATCCATATTACACGCTTTTGCCACTGGTAAATGCCAATATCAGCGGGATTTCCGCATACTTGCAACATTCCGTTTTTCCCCTTTTCTCATGCAGGCTCCAGGAGCAGCAGGGGGTTCCCATGCAGCGCCAAAGGGTTCTTGCCAACTATCGCCTTCGAGACGTTTCAAAGAATTACGCATACTTTCTATGCCTCATTCCCTTAATCGTTTCGTCCCATGCAGGCTCCAGGAGCAGGAGGGGGTTCCCATGCAGCGCCAGGGGGGTCTTTCCAACCGTCTCCTGGCGCTGCCGCCGCACCCGCGGGCCCAGTAATCGCAGGTCCGCCCGGAACCCTCCCCCCAGGCGCGGGGGTTCCAGGCGCAGGCGGAGCACCCGGCGCAGGGGGGGGAGTAGCGGGGGGAGTGGCGGGCGCATCTCCTGTGATGCAGCCGATGCCCGGGGGAATGCAGCACATGCAGCCGTATATGATTCCGCCTATGGGGCCGGATATGCATGGCATGTATTACCCCGGGAATGGATACATCCCCCACTACTACTACGATTACTCTATGCCAGGTCAGCATTTTTTGCCTCATTCCAACATTTCCCGTTCTCACCAAAACCCATTTTTCCCACTGCCATTGCCCCCCTCCCGCCCACCCTCCCCGACCGCCCCCCGGCTCCCCCAATCCCTCCACTTCCCCAGACCCCCCTCCTTCACCTTCCCCCCTCCGCCCACCCTGTCCCTCCCCCTCTTTTCCTCGGTTTTTTTCGTTCCATACATCGTTCCCATTTTACTTCTCGTCGTTTCAGTCACCATCCAGGTGTCTCATCTTCCCGCTTCCCCCCTCAACTCCTTCTCAAACAACCTCGCCGTTCCTCTAGATACGCCCTCCAACGCTCAAACGCTCTCCCCTTTCTCTCCCCCCTCTGTCCCATTCGCTCCCCTTCCCCCTTCTTCCCGTCCCCCCAGGCTACGCGGATCCTCCGCGCATGCCCCCGGAGCAGTGGGAGGAGTACATGCGCATGGCCGCGCGGATGGATGGGGGAGCGGGCATGATGGACGGTCAGCAACCGCCGGTAGGTCGTTTGGGTGACAAAGCCGTTTGCAGCACCGTTTCCAGCGCTGTAGGTGATTTGTGAGTTAAAATTAATCACCTTGGGGAGCAGGCATGGTGGACGGTCAGCAGGAGCCAGTAGGTCGTCTGGGTAGGTCGCAAGGGCCTTTGCAGGGCTGTACCTGAATACTGAGCTGATTCAAAATCATCTTCAAAAGCGGGCATGATCGACGCTCAGCAGCCACCGATTAGGTCGTCTGGGTAGTCTATAATGGCGTTTGCCGGGCCGCTGACAAGGCCGTTTGCAAAGCCATTTGCAAAGCCGTCGCCGTCTGTAGTTCAACTGAAAGGCTCAGTAGCCGATGCCTCCTAAACCTCCTGAAAACCCGCCGACAGATGGTAGCTGAAACTCCCCTCTTACGGATTGTTGTCTTTTTCAGCTAATTTTTCTCATTTCACCTCTGCTTTACTCCCGTCCTTGGCCTGCAGCCAGGGTTTGGGTTTCACGTGCCACACTACCCACACCCACACATGCCGCCCGGTTTCATGCCCCCCCATGCGCCTGGTCAACCGCCCCAGCCGCACATGATGCACCCACATCAACCCGGCCAGCTGCAACCCCCGCCACCGCCGCTAACGGCGCAGCAGCAGTCGCAACAGGGGCAGCAGCAGCAAGGGCAGGGGCAGGCGCAGCAGCAGGGACAGGCGCAGCAGCAGGGGCAGGAGCAGGGGCAGGGGCAGCAGCAGGGGCAGGAGCTGACACAAGGTGCGCAGCAGCAGCAACAGCAGGATCAGAAGCAAGCACAAAGCAGCAACCAGCAGACAGGGCAGCAACCGTCAGGCCAGCAACAGCAGCAGCAGCAGCAGCAAGTGCAACAGCAAGGGCAGCAACCCAACCAGCCACAGCAACAACAGCAGCAACCTCAGCAGGGCATGGCCCTTCACCATCCTCCGCCCGGCTTCATGCCTTTCATGCCCCCAGGCGCACACCCGTCCATGATGGGCGCTCACATGTTCGGCGCCCCTCCCCCCGGGTACCCCTTTCAAGGTCCTCCTATGTTTCAGCCGCCCCTACTCCGTCCGCCCTCGCCTGGCGGTAAGTCGTGGGTCACGGACGGGTAAGCATCCGTCCATGATGGGCGCTCACATGTTCGGCGCCCCTCCCCCAGGGTACCCCTTTCAAGGTCCTCCTATGTTTCAGCCGCCCCTCCCCCGCCCCCCTTCGCCTGGCGGTAAGTCGTGAGTCAGGGACGGGCGCACACCCGTCTATGATGGGTGGAAACATATCGCGCCCATGTCCCCCACACACGCCCCCAGTGATTGTCATCCCACCCCACTTACCTTGCCCGTTTTCAACTCTTACTGAGACCGTGTTCTCCTCATGCTTCCCCTTTCCTGCCAACTCGCCCGCCCCTCCCTTAAACCCCTTTTCCTCCCCCCCACCCCGTTTCCCCGTTCCCCTCCCCCAGACCCAGCGCAGCCTGGCGATTCCTCCCAGTCAGGTGCAGCATCCGCGCACATCCGCCCAGGTCACATGCCCCCAGTCTGGCCCTTCTCACACTCATGCTGTGTCCCCACCCCTCATTCCTCTTCCCCCCTCGACCTCCCCCCCCTTCTTCCCCCCAGACCCAGCCCAGCCTGGCGATTCCTCCCAGTCAGGTGCAGCATCCGCGCACATCCGCCCAGGTCACATGCCCCCAGTCTGGCCCTTCTCACACTCATGCTGTGTCCCCACCCCTCATTCCTCTTCCCCCCTCGACCTCCCCCCCCTTCTTCCCCCCAGACCCAGCCCAGCCTGGCGATTCCTCCCAGTCAGGTGCAGCATCCGCGCACATCCGCCCAGGTCACATGCCCCCAGTCTGGCCCTTCTCACACTCATGCTGTATCCCCACCCCCCATTCCTCTTCCCCCCTCGACCTCCCCCCCCTTCTCCCCCCCAGACCCAGCCCAGCCTGGCGATTCCTCCCAGCCAGGCGCAGCATCCGCGCACATCCGCCCAGGTCACATGCCCCCAGTGATCGGCGCCCCTCCCCACATGCCCCACATGCCCATGCACGCCTACCCCCGCCCCTCCCCCATGTCCTCCGCCTCCCCGCCCATAAACCCGCTCCCCATGGGCCGTGGGGGGTACAATCTCCTCCCCCGCGGGGGGCAGCAGCCTATGGGCGGGCGCGGGGGAGGCGGGCGCGGGGGGGACGGTGGCGGAGGAGGGGGAAGGGGAGGCGGGCGCGGATGGGGAGGGAACCGGCGGGGGCAAGGCCCTGGGGGTGGGGGCCAGGCAGGCGGAGGGGGAAGCGGGGGAGGGGGGAGCGGAAGTGGCGCGGGCGCAAGTGCAGCTGCAGGCGGAGGAGGAGGAGGCGCGGGAGCAGGGGCAGGGGGAGCAGCGGGGGGAGGCGGGGGGAACACTGGGGGGGCGGGTTCCCCTGCTAACAGAGGAGCTGGTCTTCTAGGCAGCATTGGGGGACAGGGGCAGCACCAGCAGCAGATAGGTCAACAGGGGCAGCACCAGCAGCAGATAGGTCAACAGGGGCAGCAGGGGCAACAAAACGGGGTCTATGACGGGTCTAGCGAGCAGAACAGAGGCCCTAGAACGGGCAGAAGTAGGGGGCAGGGCCTACCCACCCCCTCCGCATCTGGCGCTCCCAGTGCGCCTATGCCTATAGGCGCAGCTGCTGGTGCCATAGGGGAACCTATAGGCGCTGCCGCACCAGCTGCAGCAGGGGTTGGAGCAGGGGCAGCTGGGGGAGCGGGGGGAGCGATGGGGGCAGCAGCGGCAGCAGGGGGGGCACGTGGCGGAATAACCTTGCGTCCAGACGAGTACAATCGGGCGGACTTCAAGACGTCGTACGAGGCGGCGCGGTTCTTTGTGATAAAGAGCTACAGCGAGGACGATGTGCACAAGAGCATCAAATACGGCGTGTGGGCGTCCACCCCCACGGGCAACAAGCGCCTCGATGCCGCCTTCAAGGACGCCGCCGGGAAGAGCAGCGCCACCCCCTGCCCCGTCTTCCTCTTCTTCTCCGTAAGTTTGCTGTGCTTGCTTTACCCACCCCCAACCCAGAAACCCCCGACCCAGAAACCCCCAACCTGGAAACTCCCAACCCAGAAACCCCAAACCCAGAGACCCCAGACACTGCAGGGAAGAGCAGCGCCACCCCCTGCCCCGTCTTCGTCTTCTTCTCCGGAAGTGCCGTAACCCGAACAAGGAACCTGAACCCAGAAACTCCAAATCAGACAACCTGAACAAAACCCAAAATTCTGAACCAAACCCGAAACCCTGAACCAAACCCTAAACCCTGAACCATCCACTCGGGATGTGCGCCGCTGCCCCCTGCTCCGTCTTCCTCGTCATCTTGGTGCGTGCTGTGCTGTGTGTGCCTGCTCTGCCCCGCTCCAGAAACCGTAATCCAGACACCCCGATTCAGGAGCCCGAAATCAGTCACCCTAACACCAGCCACTTCGATCTAGACCAGACACCCCTTCCCCCTCCCCCCTCCCCCCTCCCCATTCCCCCGTTCCCCTCCCCCTCTCCCCTTTTTCGCCATCAGTTGCCTTCTACCCAGGTGAACGCGAGTGGGCAGTTCTGTGGGGTGGCGGGGATGCTGACCCCAGTGGACTTCACTCGCACACTTTATCTTTCCTTCCCTTTCCTTTCCCCCCCTCTTTCCCCCTTTCTCCCCTGTCTCGATCCCTCCTCTCACCCTCCCTGTTTCAGGTGAACGCGAGTGGGCAGTTCTGTGGGGTGGCGGAGATTCTGACCCCAGTGGACTTCACTCGCAGTGTGGACTACTGGCAGCAGGAAAAGTGGAACGGACCTTCCCACCCAACTCTCACCTCCCTTCGCGCTCTTCTGTTCCCTCCTCTCTCCCTCCCCTCTGTTCCCTTCCCTCTCCTTCCCCTGTGTCTCTCACTGTCGTTGCCACTTCCTTCCATATGGCAGGTGAACGCGAGTGGGCAGTTCTGTGGGGTGGCAGAAATGCTGACCCCGGTGGACTTCACTCGCAGTGTGGACTATTGGCAGCAGGACAAGTGGAACGGACACTTCTCACCCAACTCGCTCCCTCTCTCACCTCCCCTCTGTTCCGTCCCCTCTGGCAGGTGAACGCGAGTGGGCAGTTCTGTGGGGTGGCGGAGATGCTGACCCCGGTGGACTTCACTTGCACTGCTTTCCTCCTGCCTCCTTGCCTCCACCCTCTACCTCTCCTCTTTCTTCCCTGTGTCTCCCACTTCCACATGCTCAGGTGAACGCGAGTGGGCAGTTCTGTGGGGTGGCAGAAATGCTGACCCCAGTGGACTTCACTCGCAGTGTGGACTACTGGCAGCAGGACAAGTGGAACGGACACTTCCAGGTCAAGTGGCACGTGATCAAGGACGTGCCCAACTCGCAGTTCCGGCACATCATCATCGCTTCCAATGATGGCAAGCCTGTTACCAACAGCAGAGACACGCAGGAGGTGAGAAGGGGTTGAGAGCGGTTGAAAGGGGTTAATGATGGGGGAGTGGGGGAAGTGGCGCGTGATCAAGGACATGCCCAATATCATCACGCAGTTCCGGCATATCATCATCGTGTCTAATGACGGCAAACCGGTCACCAACAGCCGAGATACCCAAGAGGTATGGCGGGTGGATGACGGATGTTGGGGGGGGTGAAAGGGGGTGACAGGGGGGTTGGTGATGGTCAAGTGGCACGTGATCGAGGACGTGCCCAACACGCAGTTCCGGCACATCATCATCGTCTCTAATGACGGCAATTCCTTCAGTTCCTTCCCCCCCCTCTCCTTCAACGCCCCCACCCCCTATCATCCCTCGTTCCCTCCTTCGTTCCCCCCCAGGTGCCGCTGCAGCAGGGGCAGGAGATGCTGCGGCTGTCCAAGGGCTACTCGTTCCAGGGATTCACCCTCTCCCCCCACTCCCCCCTCTCCTCCTATCCCCCAGGTGCCGCTCTAGTAGGGGCAGGAGATGCTGCGGCTGTCCAAGGGCTACTCGTTCCAGGGATTCACCCTCTCCCCCCACTCCCCCCTCTCCTCCTATCCCCCAGGTGCCGCTCTAGTAGGGGCAGGAGATGCTGCGGCTGTTTAAGGGCTACTTGTCGCTTATGCCATGCACTGCCCTTTCCCTACTCGATCCCCCCATCCACCCTTCCCCCCTCCTCCCCCCACCAGGTGCCGCTGCAGCAGGGGCAGGAGGTGCTACGGCTGTTCAAGGGCTACTCGTCCTCAGTAGCGCACGGTGCACTGCTGCTCATACATCTCGATTCCCTCCCACCATCCCCCAACCCCCTCCCCCTCCTCCCCCCACCAGGTGCCGCTGCAGCAGGGGCAGGAGATGCTACGGCTTTTCAAGGGCTACTCGTCTCCACGGTGCACGCTGCACTGCCTGCTCATTCTCCCCGATTCCTTGGTCCTCTCCCCTCGCCCTCCTCCCTCCTCCCCTCTCCCACCAGGTGCCGCTGCAGCAGGGGCAGGAGATGCTACGGCTTTTCAAGGGCTACTCGTCTCCACGGTGCACGCTGCACTGCCTGCTCATTCTCCCCGATTCCTTGGTCCTCTCCCCTCGCCCTCCTCCCTCCTCCCCTCTCCCACCAGGTGCCGCTGCAGCAGGGGCAGGAGATGCTACGGCTTTTCAAGGGCTACTCGTCTCCACGGTGCACGCTGCACTGCCTGCTCATTCTCCCCGATTCCTTGGTCCTCTCCCCTCGCCCTCCTCCCTCCTCCCCTCTCCCACCAGGTGCCGCTGCAGCAGGGGCAGGAGATACTGCGCCTATTCAAGGGCTACTCATCGCGCACGTCCATTCTGGACGACTTTACCTTCTACGACTCGCGCCAGCGCGCCATGCAGGAGCGGAAGACCCGCCACCCCTCCCACCCAACCACCTCCTGAATCACCCATGCTCCCCCTCTTTTCCTCCTCTCCCCCTCTTTTCCTCCTCTCCCCCTCTTTTCCTCCTCTCCCCCTCTTTTCCTCCTCTCCCCCTCTTTTCCTCCTCTCCCCCTCTTTTCCTCCTCTCCCCCTCTTTTCCTCCTCTCCCCCTCTTTTCCTCCTCTCCCCCTCTTTTCCTCCTCTCCCCCTCTTTTCCTCCTCTCCCCCTCTTTTCCTCCTCTCCCCCTCTTTTCCTCCTCTCCCCCTCTTTTCCTCCTCTCCCCCTCTTTTCCTCCTCTCCCCCTCTTTTCCTCCTCTCCCCCTCTTTTCCTCCTCTCCCCCTCTTTTCCTCCTCTCCCCCTCTTTTCCTCCTCTCCCCCTCTTTTCCTCCTCTCCCTCCTCTCGATGTCTGCCCCTCTCCCTGTTGCTCCGTTTCTCCATTCTCCCCCGCTCTTCCCCCTCCAGGTGCCGCTGCAGCAGGGGCAGGAGATGCTGCGGCTGTTCAAGGGCTACTCATCGCGCACGTCCATTCTGGACGACTTTACCTTCTACGACTCGCGCCAGCGCGCCATGCAGGAGCGGAAGACCCGCCACCCCTCCCACCCGTTCCCGCACCAGCAGCAATCGCAGCACCTGCAGCAGCATCAGCAGCAGCAGCAGCAGCAGCACCCACAGCAGCAGCACCAGCATCCTCATCAGCAGCAGCTGCAGTCGCAGCAGCAGCAGCTGCAGCACCAGCATATGCAGCAGCAGCAGCATCAGCAGCACCAGCAGCAGCTGCAGCAGCAGAGGCGGACTGTAGTAGGGCGGAACCCGGGACCAGTGCTTCTGCCTCAGGTATTTTTCGTGCCCGTCGTTTCTTTACCTTATCACCCGCACTTGAAGTTCCTTCTCCCTCCTCCCCTACCTCTCCCCTCCCGTTCCCCCTACCATTCCCCTTCCTCTTCTCCTTCCCCGGCCTTCCGTTTCCCCCCCTTTCCCCCACTCCCCTCCCTCCCCGACTCCCCTCCCTCCCCCACTCCCCTCCCTTCCCGACTCCCCTCCCTCCTCCACTCCCCTCCCTCTCCGCTTCCCACCTCTCATGCCTCTCGATCCCATCAACCCTTCCTTTGTTTCTGCTTTCGCTATCGCTACCCCCATCCAATACTGATTTAGCTACTACCTCACTTTTCTCCACCTTTCCTTCCTCTATTCCCATTACTCTTTCCCTCTGTTCCCCTGCTCCGCTGTTCCCTTGCTCTCTTGCTCCCTTTCTCCCCTGCCCCGCTGTTCCCTCTACTCCGCGGTTCTCCCCGCCTTGGCTTGACGCCCGCCTGCTAGACCCCCCCTTCCCGCCTCTCATGCCTCTCAACCCTGCCTTTGGCCCTGCTGGTCTGCCTCTTCCCGCCAACGCTGCTGCTGGCCCCAGGCTAGACTGATGCAGCTATTATACTCACTCTGCCCCACCTATTTTCCCCTTGTCCCCTGGTCCCCTGCTCCCCTGCTGCCCTGTTTTCCTGTTCCCCTGTTTCCCTGTTCCTCTTGCTCCCATGTCCCTCTCCTCCCTCCGCCCTGGTTCTCCCAGCCTCGGCTTGATGCCCGTCCGCTGGACTACCCCTTCCCGCCTCTCATGCCTCTCGGCCTCATCAACCCTGCCTTTCCTGTTCCCTTGCTCCCATCCTTGCTCCCATGTGCTCCCCTCTGCCCCGCTCCTCCCAGCCTCGACTCGACGCTCGTCCGCTGGACTACCCCTTCCCTCCGCTCATGCCTCTCGGTCCCATCAACCCTGCCTTTGGCCCTGCCGGCCTGCCTCTTCCTGCCAATGCTGCTCCCGGCGCTGCTGTTGCTGCTGCTGCTGGGTTTGGGGGACACGGGAGAATGATGTATTCGCACACAGGGCCTATTGGTGCTGCTCCAGGTGCTGGGCGAGGGAGAGGGGGGCGTGGGGGAGCGGGAGGGGGAGGAGGAGCAGGAGTGGGAGGGGGGGGAGGAGGGGGAGCAGGGTCGGGGTTAGGAGGAGTGTCTAGTAGTGCGAGTGCGCTTGCCAGTATGCTGCCTGCTTCCGTCATGCCTAGCCCTACTCCTGCTGCTGCTGCCGCCGCCGCCGCCGCTGCTTCTGGTGCGATAGGTGAAGGAGAGAAGTTGGGAGCTGCTACTGCGACGTCTGGTGCTGCTGCTGGTGGTGCTGGTGCTGGCGCTGGTACTGGTTCTGAGAATGGTGGGGCAGCAGTAGGGGGGAAGGGAGGTGAAGGGAAGAAAGCTGGAGGGAAGGGAGGGGAGACGGCAGCAGCGATTGTGGAGGGTGTGGCAGTGATGTCCCTTGGGGATGGGAAGTGAGGGGACACGAGGGAAGTTGTGAGGAGAGACGTGTCACAAAAACGGAGGGCTGTTACTCAAGGTGGAGAGGTGTTGCGCAAGGTGCAGGGAGGTTCTATGCGAGCAGAGAGGTTCTATGCAAGGAGCAGAGAGGTGTTTCACAAGGTGTAGAGAGGTGTTTCACAAGATGCAGAAGTGATATGGAAGGTTCAAGAGGTGTCATTAAACTGTTACTCAAGCTGCAGTGAAGCGTCACTCATTCAGTGATGTGTCAATGTCAACGCGATGCTCCCAAAGCGGGCAGTATGAGGAGGGAAAAGGAATGAGGGAGAAGTGAGGCGTTTGGTCAAAGGCAGGGGAGGAGGTTGGATGGAGAAGTGAACAAGATATCTGGAATCCGCAAGAAAAGCACTAGCAAGAACCACTGTTCTGTGTGACAGAAGTGGGATTGCCTTTTTTTTTTTTTCTGCTGTTGACCCTTTAGCAAGCCACTCAAGATAGTAGTACAGTAGCAGGAGACGAGAGGTTGACAGCAGCTCTGGTAGTAGGTGTTGGAGAGAGCGTGGATGCAATCTATGGCCATCTTGGTTTTATGTCACATGAACTGGGCAAGCAATCTTTGTGGAGCAATGCCACTGGCCTTAACAAGGAACTGTACATGGCAGACATGACGTGCTAGGTTAACAAGTGCGGGATGTGTTGTGTAGAAGCAATTAGTGCCAAAGTAATTCTTCCATACAACTATGTGCCAATATCCCACCCCTTGAAACACTGCTTCGCATTCAGCTAACACGAGAATGGCGTTTGAAGTCCGAGACTCGTTGAAATCGGAAAAGCTGCTTCGAAAATACCTTGAGAGAGCCCTGCAAAGCTCTGCATGCGCACTGCGACAGCTCAACAACACTAAACGGCTCTGACGAGTTCAGTAGTCAGCAAGCCGAGACACGGATTCAAATCAGCGAGCACTGAGCAACGCCGCGCCTTGCCAGAGGGTGGGAAGAACCGGCGGCAGGTGAACTGAAACTCAGAAAGCATGGGAATCTGCAGCCTCCCTGGAACTCAGGAATCAGCGTCCACTCCTAGTAGTCTGCGGTGGGAATCTGCTTCGCGAGAAACAGGTCACGAAATTTCGTATGAGAGGCCGTCGTTTCAATCTGCAAGGAGTGGGATCCTGGATTCCTGGCTCATGATTGCCAGCCACTCCTTGGCAGCTCCCCGCCCAGCAATTACTTCTCTCCAGCGAGATAGCTGACCGTGTTTTACCTCCTCGCAATCTCCTTGCGTCTTCATTCTGCTCTTCATTCTTGAAGTTCCCATTCGTTTAGAATCAGCATGACGTTCCCAGTCATGAAAGTAGTCACACTGCCGCTCATATCTTCCACTGTTCTGGGAAATGGCAGTGGATGGGATGCAGAATCCGCCGCCGCCTCTCTTTCCGACTACCCTCCAACACCGCGGGGTGGGACTCTTCGATTACACTTCCATGCTGGAGACGAAGTTCCCAGTTTTACACTAGCTTGCGTGGCATTCCGGGAAAGTTTGAAGGCCAAGGATGGATGATGGCCTTAGCACGCGAGCTTCTTGTTCGGATTTTTTTCTTCGAAATATCTTCAGTCACGAGGTGCGAGCTTCATTTTCGTGTTTCCTGCGAATTCAGAAGGATTCTGTTTCCATGTCAGTTACTTCTTAGGCACCTGCGATAGAGTCATAAGCCCGCTCTGTACTACTATCTCTGTGTGCGTAGAACGGCTTAACCACGAATAGTCTGTCCTCGCGGAGCTAGCCCGAGAATTCTTGTTACTTTCATAGCTTTTGATCTTCTACCATGCATCCTGAAGACTTCACATCTCTCGAGATCCAAGAGAGTCAGTACCATCAGCTTATTGCTGTTTATGTTTCAGCTCCACAATGATAATCGCCGATTCTCATCTGATATGTCTTCTTATGCTTTCAGGAGATGGCGTTGCTCGAAGCCCACGTCGGCGAATCACAAGGCGAAGGTTTCAGCCGAGGATCTGGGTGAAACTGACGTTTTTCGTTGGTGCTCTAGTGCTGATTTGCTCGGGAGTGTTGGCCGTCGTTCTGTGGAGGCTTTCGCAATCAACCTTGACTGGAGAAATACGGGAAAGGCTTGACACTGTCGCAAGCCTTCGTCAAGAGCAGGTATAACCCTAAGTCTGGCTTTTTGCCGACTGTATCACCTGCTATGTTGGTTAATTCGGTGAAGGTTCTGATTGTTATATCTGAATTTCCATCTTATTGGTGCGTCAGATACTATTCTACATAATTGGAACTCAAGATACGGTGAAGCTGATTGCATCTCGCGTTGTCATTTCATCCTTGCTGCTCATGCACAAGCAAGGGAAGTCCAATTTGACAAGAAATGACTACAAGATGGGCACGGAGGATCTGGATTCTGCTGTCATGAGTGCAGCTAATGTCATGGCGTTAGGAGCATACAGCAGCGACGGTGAACTTTTGTTTTCCAGCAAGCATCCAGCTGATATGGAGCCGCTTCCAAAACGCTTGCGCGGGCGAGCACTGGTTGTGCAAAGTCGGAACATTTCAGTGTGGTCTGGGACTCCCTATGCCGGACGCAACAATACTTTCCTGATCGACATTACAGCTTCTGTAGACTATAAGGTATGTAATTTCATTCAACGGGTTTGATATTCCCTTTGAACTATCTGTTCCAAGAAAAGAGATGCTCTTATTTTTCTCTTCTGACCCTTTTTGCCTTTCAGGACACCTTTTGTGGAATTATTTTGGCAACAGTTGACGCTGAGAACTTCAAGCAAACTGTACATGATGGAACTGGTCTTCAGTCCACTGGAGAGCTTCTTGTTGCATATGTCAATGATGGAGAGGACGTGGTGAAGTTCATAGTTCCACCAATCAAGGCTCCGTCTGTGAAAAACTCCACTTACAAGGGTGCCGCCTACAGAGCAGGGAAGGGCCAGACAGGATATTACCAAGGGGCTGACTTTCGTGGTGTCGAGGTTGTTGCTTCTTACCGTCCCATTGGCTATGACTCTTGGGGTATGTCCTGCAATTTTTGTGTGCGTTAGTTCCTTGACTGAAGCTTTATTCTCCCATTCTTGAGCATTGTTTTCAAGCCTAGAAACTGCTTCTTTCATTGCAGGACTGGCAGCCACGATTGACAAAGGAGAAGTGTACATCTCTATAAGGAAGTTTGAGAAGATTATTATCATTTCAATGTCCTGCATCTTTGTGCTTGGGATCCTTGCAGCCTATGCCTTAGCCACGGTATGACATCTTTGTTCTTCATTACATTCTCTCTGATTTCAAATGTTTCATGCATGGCGGTATGTACTTATGATGTGAGACATCTCTGTGCAGTATTTTTCCCGTCCAATTATGGAGCTTGGAGATGCTGCGGGCAAATTAGCACGGGGTGATTATAGTGCAAGAGCGCATGGGCGGCGAGGCTGCTTGAAGGACGAGATTGATGAGCTTTGCTGTGTGTTTAATGACATGGCAGATCAGATCTCCAGCGCTTACTCAACTTTGGAACAAAAGGTGTGGTCATTCTACATGTGGTCATTTCCCACTTCTCTCTTGTTTCCTTCTTTTGCGCAAAATAAATGAACATTTATATTTACAATTGACGGACTACTATGTTGAGTTTCAGGTGGTGGAACGCACGCAAGATCTGGCACTGCTGAATCAGGGTCTATCCTCTGAGGTGGAAGAGAGGAAGAGTATGGAGTTACAGCTTCAGGTTGCCAAGGAGCAGGCAGTCTCAGCAGACAAGGCGAAATCTGAGTTTCTGGCAAACATGTCTCATGAGATCAGAACACCGCTGAATGGCATCATCAATTGCACCGAGCTCTGCTTGGATACTGCTCTCAGCTCTGAACAGATCGAGTATCTTGAGCTTGTAAGTTTCCTGTGCAATTTGGGTACAGACAAAAAATGTTTTGTTTTTTGTTTGTTTTTTTTTTCCTTTTCTATGTGAGTCGTGGCTGACTGGGTTTGTTGATTGTGCTTGTTTTGTGCAGTCCCTGTACTCAGCTAAGCATCTTCTGCGTCTGATTGCTGACATTCAGACTTCAGCAAAATCGAAGCGGGAAAAATGGACCTGGAGAACATTGAGTTCTCACTACAAGACCAGGTAGTTATTTGCTGCTTGTTTAACCATCTGCTTTTGTTAGTGTTGTTGTATTGTTTCTCAACAATAGCTTATTCAATTGATTTTTCCTCCAGATGGAACATGCTGTATCCGTCCTGGCGAATCGGGCAAGGAAGAAGGGCCTTGCACTTGTATCATGGCTGAGGTCTCCTAACATGCCAGAAAGTCTCATGGGTGACCCTGGACGCCTGCTTCAGATCTTCATCAACCTTTTGGGTAGGTTTCAGTACAGTGCACGCTTGCGATGTATGCTAGCTTCCAACATGGAGGGACTAAAAATTATTGTGTGTGATGCTCCATGTTACAGGTAATGGGATTAAGTTTACTGAGAAGGGTGAGGTTTTGCTGACAGCTACACTTGTTGCCCTCAAGGATCAGACCGCAGAGGTGCTTTTTGCTGTTAAAGACACAGGTTCGTAATTCAAAAAACGCTTATATTCTGTGCCAATATGTGTTAAATGCCATGTTGTATCAATACTTACGTTCTCCTTTTTACCAGGAATCGGCATACCTCAAGCCAAGCAGTCGTTGTTGTTTCAAGCGTTCAGTCAGGTCCATGCATCGGATTCACGGTGAGGCATAACTATCCACATTCTTTCACTGCGCTCTAGTTAAACTCCGCTAATGTCTTCGATGTGCTTTTCAGGCTGTATGGAGGGACAGGACTGGGATTGATGATCTCATCTCGCTTGGCCAATGCCATGGGTGGTCACATGTGGGTTGAGAGCGAAGAAGGTTGCGGGTCAACCTTTTGTTTCACAGCCAAGTTTACTGTCCCACCTGAGCCTGCAAAACCATCGTCACTGGCACGGTGTGGCACTCTGTGTCCAAAAATGAACAATTTTCGTGGGCTTGTTGTGGATGGGAATGAATCGACCAGGAGGTCCATCCTCTCGACTCTTGAGGTGGGATGGGATCCACTGCCTGAGAATCAACTTTTTTTGTTCTACTTTTGCTGCTGGCACGAGGGCAGTGTTACTAATACTAGTTGTTTGCTTTTCCTTTGCAGAAGCTGAGAGTCAAGGCAGATGATGCCGCTAACGCAACCTCCGCTCTGGAAATGCTCCAGAGAGCAGCATACGACGAGTCGCCATACACTCTGCTCATTCTCGACTCTGAAGTCAGGGACACCCCCCATGGTCCCTCCTCATCCTCCTCCTCCTCCTGCTCCTCTTCCTATGAGAACTGTGCTGTCTCCTCCACCAGCTGTGCGAAGCTGCTGCACCACATCAAGAAGCAGAATCTGCTCCATCAGGACAACGCCGGATGCCGACTTTCAGAAGGGAACTGCAGTAGCGGCGGAGCTGTGCAAGAGATGGAGGATCTCACTGGGTACTCCGAGTCCCCTGTGCCCGCTTGGCTCTTCTCTGGGCAGCAGGAAAAGGCCTCAGCAGAAGCAGAAGAAGAGCTTAACGCCAGTGTGCTCTCTTCAGGAACAGGGGGAAGTGCTTCGGAAAAAAGACCGGGCAGGAGTTCTGGTCAACAGCTTCAATCAGTCCAAAGGGCAGAGTCACAAGCAGCTACAGCTGACAGTGGAGGAGTGGTGCGGCTGCAGAGATGCGGCCTGGCACAGGCTTCCTGCTCTGCAACCGAAGTGACTTATGAGTCAACTCAAAGGTCACCTAGAGCTGACAGTGGAGGAGTGATGCGGCTTCAAAGGTGCGGGGAAACACAGGCTTCCTGCTCTGCAACGGAGGGGTGTCAACCCGAGCGTCGCGAGGAGGACTTGGCGCTGCCTGTGGTGTTGTTGACACCAGGAGGTCCTGACGACAAGCCCTTGTAAGTGCTGACATTTGGACAACACATTTATTTGTGTGGCGCTCACTCCACCCCGCAAGCCTCTTCTCTGAGTACGGCTGTTTCTTGCGTTCTTGGAATGCTGTACAACAGGTGTAAGGAACTCGGGGTGCAACTCTATGTTCCTAAGCCTGTGAAGAGGAAAGTTCTTACGCGAAGAGTCAAGCAGGCATTGAAGCTCCCCCTGCAGGTGACCTCCCTTGCTCCAATTCTTTCCTCCAGCATTTTACATTTGTACTTACTCTGCATGCTGCTGAGTGGGCCCACCATTGAATGTCTGCACATACCCTTCCTTTCATTCTTCACCGCATGCTGATCTTTCCTTTCTTCCTTGTTCTGTCAGGACGGGCTCTCTGCCTCGAATTCAAGTGCTTCAGAGGAGGCATCGGCATCAGCAGCGGCTGAAAGGAGTCTCAAGGTCCTGGTTGCGGAAGACAACATTGTGAACCAGCGGGTAGCCATGACCCTGTTGCGCAAGTGGGGGCACGAGGCGGTTCTGGCTAGTGACGGTGAAGAAGCCGTGGAGAAGGTTCAAGCCGAAGTATTTGATGTGATACTAATGGATGTGAGTATGGCAACAACATCTCCTTCACCGTGTGTCATTCAGTAAAAATTACATACTGCCCCTTTTTTCTCTCAGTTCACGATCCCCGCCTGTCCTGCACTCCTCTCACCTTCCCCTTCTCCCATGTGCAATATCAGGTGCAAATGCCTGTTTGCGATGGCCTGCAAGCAACCAAGAGGATTCGTGAATACGAGTCCACAACGAAACGCCACACACCCATCATTGCTGTAATGCTCACCCTTTTTCTCTCTTGTTTTTCTATTGGCTAAAAGACGTATAAAAGGCAGCATTTTCCACTGCAACTGAAAGCCATTTTTTCCCTGCAGATGACAGCACAAGCCCTTATCGGAGATGGAATGAAGTGCATCGAGGCAGGAATGGATTCGTACATGAGCAAACCTGTAAGTATTTTCGTGCTCTACTTCTTCACATCTTGGTCTGTTTTGACCTTGTGGTCTGAGAAAAGCCGCGGGGCCAATTCTTGTCTTTTTTTTGTACAGTTGAACGCATCCAAGCTGAAGGATCTCTTGCGCCTTGTGTGTCAATCACATGTTCTTCCGAAGCCAACCAACGACTGCGCCCGAGAATTCTAATTGGGAGGAAATTTACATTAGGCATATGTACATAAATGAGTGTTGCTGTAGTATCACTCATGCAAGTGATCTGTGCAATAAAATGGGTTTTATTAATTGTTTTCACCTTTCTAGTTGCAGTGTACTGTTACTTTCCACTAGTATTTTGTTGATGTCACCGACCATGTGATCTCCATAAAGTGATCTCGATTGGTTAGCCAACTGAATCCCCGATTCCTAATCCTTCAAAGCCTTGACTTTCACTTCACGCCACTTCCATTCCATCGTGACCACGAGCGCCTGTGGGATGGATGGAGTGAGGGCGCGTTCTTGGCTGGTGTCATGCTCCCTGACACAAGGCCGGACGATTTCGATTATTCCACGTCATCATCTTCAAAATCTTCCAAAATCCCAAGCTTTCAGAGCTTGGTGTCGTCAAGATTCTAGACACCAGCCAAGAACGGACTCTGAGTGGGGGTAAGGGGAGGGGGGAGCTGAGCAGGGAGGGAGATGGGAGTGCCGTCATAGAGTCGAGTCGATTCAATAACCGTCGCGTGCATAGTGCATGCAGTTACCCGAGAGAGGGGTTTCGTTCGAAGGGAAGGTACTGAAATTGTTCTGTTCTGTGCTAAGCACAGGACCCCAAAAGGGATGACTGGACTCAACTGAACACCTCCTTTCAAAACCAGGTTTTGGAGCCGATTGGCTAGGCTCGATTCCGTTGCCCAATCTGTTTGCGCCAAACTCTCGGCCTGTCAGCGTTCCTCCTTTTGGACAGACTGGACTGTTGGGCGATCTGTTCGGTTGATTACGTTTCAGTAAGATTCATCTTGGTTGAGAAAGCTTGAGCTCACACCATCAAGAATGGAATACTTCGAAAAACGAATAGAAAACGCAGAAGCTGAGAGTGGCTCGTTTTAATTTTGAGACGGTTGGGTAGGGTTTTGAGCAGAAATGGACTCCCACCACGACACACCCTCCCTGTTGATTCAAACTGTGCGGGGAAACAAATTAGTAACCGTATCTCAGTTATCTCACCTTGTACGTGAGCCCGGCTCGTTGCCGTCCTTATGGTGTCACGGACACATCAGCCTGTTGCCCGACCAAAGTTTCCTCGAGTAGCGCTGGGCTCGTCTCGCATTAAGTTCTGTAATGCTAGCATAATCGCGTAAGCAATAGGCAGACGCTGCTATCTCCTTGGGTTTTCTTTGACCCAGTTTGTTAGTCGCAGCGACATTGGTTGTTCGTCTCTTTCTCGCGTCTGGGGTATGTCAGCGCTCCTCGCTACTCCTTTCACTCATACGACCAGCGTTTTCCGCGTTAGTGGCGGGACGTAATTTTCAGGCGCCTCAGAGCGGGACTGACTGATAACTTATTAACATTATCCTCGTGACGCGTGCATCTTTTCACATTGTAACGGTAAATAGAACAAAAGGTTTTCATATTAGCGCTCAGGTTTCGAGACGTAGATAGCTAGGTAGACGTTACGGTCAGGTCTCCAGAGGTCTTAAATTTCTATAAGCTCGGGGAAAAGAAGCTCGGGTGCGTGAATGGAAGCAGAGGAGACGGAATGGGTGGCCGGCGGCGGAGTAGGATTAGCAATCGGTGAAGAGGGGTTCGTACGGGATCAGGTGCTGGCAGGAGGTTCGTCCGTCCATGTCGGCTCGGTAAGACCCGAGCCTGCTGGTTCGGGGAAACCGGCCGGACCAGTAAGACGTAGGCCCAAAATGGCCGTGCCTCGGCTGGTTCACTCAAGTTCGGTAAGCGCGCCGAGCCCCAAAACGCCCGTGGTACCAACTCCCGGGAAAAGGATGTTTTCGCGGGCAGCTGGGGCAGGTGAAGAGGCAAAAGGTGAAAAGCAGCAAACCCCAGTGTTTCCTCGGAGTACAAGCGTCAGCCTGCCCGTGAGAAATGTTTTGGTGATCCCGGGTGGGGAAAAGGAGAGGACGGGGAGCGCGGGAGAGGGGGGTAAGCGGCGGGGGGAAGGGCAACGGAGTGAGGGGGAGGGGGAAGGGGGGAAGGAGGATGGGGAAGGGGAGGGATGGAAGGAGAGGCGGCAGGCGCAGGCGGAAGCTGTGACACGTGCCATGCAGCGATTGGACGCGGGGAAGGACGGCAGGGCGGCTGAAGTCGCGGCAACTCCAAGGGTAAGCCACGTAGTAGACGTGACGAAGCTTCATGGTTTGAAAGCTTCAAGCGCATGCTGCAGCGAGCAGAATCTCCTCCCCTCCCCCCTCACACCTTCCCCCTCCTCCCCACCCCTCCCCGCCCCCACAACTCCCTCCCTCCCCCCTCCCCCTCCTCTCCTCTCCCCTCATGCATGCTGCGCCGACGAATGCTGCGCCAACGCATGCTGCAGCGAGCAGCAACACCTCCATCCCCGACACCCGCCCCTCTCTTACAGGAGGAGCGTTTGCTCCGCTTGTCCCGCCAGCAGAAGCGCCAACGCATGCTGCAGCGGGCGGCTGCCGCCCTTCCCACCTGCAAACTCTCCCCCACCTTTACCCCGCTCCCGCTCCCCCCCTGCAGGAAGAGCGTTCGCTCCGCCTATCCCGCCAGCAGAAGCGCGAACGCATGCTTTTGCGAGCAGCCCCCTCGTCCCCTCACCCCTCCCCTACCCGCTCTCTCTTTCCCTCTGCAGGAGGAGCGTTCGCTCCGCCTATCCGCCAGCAGAAGCGCCAACGCATGTTGCAGCGGGCGGCTGCCGCGCTTCCCACCTGCAAACAAACCCCCCCTCTCTCCCCCCCCCCGCGTATTTTTACCCCCCTCCCGCTCCCCCCTTGCAGGAAGAGCGTTCGCTCCGCCTATCCCGCCAGCAGAAGCGCCAACGAATGCTGCAGCGGGCGGCGGCCGCCCTTCCCACCTGCAAACAAACCCCCCACTCTCCCCTCCCCCCCGCGCATTTTTACCCCCCTCTCGCTCCCCATTCTCCTTCCCTTAACCATTCCCGCCCTACAGGAGGAGCGTTCGCTCCGCCTATCCCGCCAGCAGAAGCGCCAACGCATGTTGCAGTGAGCAGTTCCCTTCCCCCCTTCTCCTTCTCCTCTCAACGCGCTCTTCCCCCCCCCCCCCCCCCCCCCCTTCTCCCCATTCTCCTTCCCTTAACCATTCCCGCCCTACAGGAGGAGCGTTCGCTCCGCCTATCCCGCCAGCAGAAGCGCCAACGAATGCTGCAGCGGGCGGCGGCCGCCCTTCCCCAGCTGGCGCAGCGCGTGTCGGAAACGCCTCGCTTCCGATTGGACGATTTTCTGGCGGCGCTTGACAGCCTGGCAGCGCTTCGGGGGAAGCTGAGAGCGGCCCTGGAGGCGCAGCAGAGGGAGGAGGAGGACGAGGAGGCGGAGAGGAGGGAAGAGGAGAGGAGGAGGGGGGATAGCGGGGAGGAGAGGAGGGATGGGGAAGGGATGGGGGGTGAGGGTGGAATGGTAAATGGAGAGGGTGGAGGAGTGGGGGAAGGAAGCGGGAAGGGAGGAGGTGGAGCTTTTGGGTTAGAAGATGGGGAGGGTGAGAGTGGTCGCAGGGAGGAGGGGGAGGAGAAGGAGGAGGGGGAACAAGAAGTACAAGCAGTTGGTATGAATGAGATGTCGAGAGGAGGTGAAGGCAATACACGAGTGGATTCAGGTGGTGATGGTGTGGAGGGAGAGGATGGTGAGGAGGGAGAGGAGGGAGAGGAGGAAGAGGAGGAAGAGGAGGAAGAGGAGGGAGAGGAAGGCGAAGAGCTGGGCAAAGGAGGGATACGGAAAAGGCTACATACGGGCAGTGAAGGAGGAGAAGGGGAGGACAGCGAGGAGGAAACAGAAGAGAGAGATTCTGCGGCAGATAAGATGACAATGTCCCCTGCTCCTGCTGCTGTGTCCCCTGCTCCTGCTGCTGTGTCCCCTGCTGCTGATATCTCTCCTGCTGCTGCTCTTCCCGTGCTTCAATGGGATGTGCTTATAAGCGTGGAGGCTGTTATCGAGGATGCGCTGATGTTGCTGGAAGAGGAGTTTGAAGCGACTCTCTCCAAGCACGGGTGGGTTTCTTCTTGTCCGATCTGGCTCTAAGTTGGGATGCCATCTGCGTGCGTTCTAAGTTGGCTCTCAAACCACACCACCAGGATGCGCTGATGTTGCTGGAAGAGGAGTTTGAAGCGACTCTTTCCAAGCACGGGTGGGTCCTTATTTATCCTATCCGCCTTCTAGGTGTGTATCTGAATCGACTCAAACCACGCCACCAGGATGCCCTGATGCTGCTGGAAGAGGAGTTTGAAGCGACTCTCTCCAAGCACGGGATCACCCGTGCTTGGAGAATCGCCTCAAACCACACGAGGATGCCCTGATGTTGCTGGAAAAGTAGTTTGAAGCTACTCTTTCCAAACACAGGTGGGTGTCTTTTGATCCAACTTCTACCCTCCGAGTCATGACATTCCACGAATGCACCTTCCCTTCCCTTCGTTGTAGGGACATTCCACTTTCTCCCCTCCAACGACCCAACGACCCTACGGTCTACCCACCACCCCTTTCAACCTTGACTTGTCCCATTCGTACCCCCCACCCCCAACCCCAAACTCCCTCCCTTCCCCGTGCAGCAAGCCTCTGGACCTCCCAACACTACTAAAGTCTGCCCCTCATGCCCAAAATTCTAGTTTTGAGGCGCCTCAAAACTAGACCCAACGCTAAAGTCTGCCCTTCACGCCCAAAATGTCGCCATTGCAGCAGCTGCTGCTGCTGCTAGTGCTGCTGCAGGGGCAACAGGGGGATCGTTTTTGAGGCGCCTCAAAAAACGACCTCTCTGCTGCTGCTGCTAGTGCTGCCGCAGGGGCAGCAGGGGGAGCGCCCTCTCTCCGAGCGCGTACAGCCACGGGCATCACACCCATCACCACCCGTTTCACCCGCACCTCTTCTGATTTCTCCCTCTCTGCTTTCCTCCCCCCCGTTTCGCCCCCCTTCCCCGTGCAGCAAGCCTCTAGATCTCGCAACACTAAAGTCCGCCCTTCATGCCCAGAATTTCGCCACTGCAGCTGCAGCTGGTGCTGCTGGTACAGGGGCAGCAGGGGCAGCAGGGGGAGTGCCCTCGCTTCGTGCCCGTAGAGCGACAGGCGTCACCCCCATCACCACCCGTTTCACTCGCACCTCCTCCGACTTCTCCCTTGCTGCTGCCGCATCTGCTAGAGGGAACATCAGCACTACCCCCACCAACCAGAGTAATTCGACCAAGTACCCTGAACACGCCCTTGTTAGCCCGCTTGCTCACCGCGGCTTACCTTCTGCCTCTGCTGCTGCTGGCTTTGCTGCTGGTGCTGCTGGTGTTCCACGTAGTCCTGTTGGCCTGACTCCTGGCCCGCGCTCCCCAGGGATGCGCACGTCAGGACAGAACTTGCCGCCCTGTTCACCATCATCCCGTCGTCTTTTTGCGGCCCATCATCCTCACCACCATCATCATCATTCTCAGCAGCAGCTGGATTGGCAACATCAGCAGCAGCAGCAGCAGCAGCACCAACACCAGCACCATCAGCAGCACCATCAGCAATATCATCAACACCAGCAGCAGCACCAGCAGCAGCACGGGCATAGGCCTGATCAGGGCAGGTTATGGAAATCCTCCTCTAGTTTCCTGTTTGATGATCCCATGATGATCGAGTTCAATGCGTCTCTTGCTGATGCTGCTGCTGCCGTTGCCGGCACTGCTCCTGCTCCTGCCGCCGCCGCTGCTGCTGATGGTGCTGCTGCTTCTGCTGCTGCGGTTGCTGATGGCAGTGCTAGTGCCGGCGGCGGCGTTGCTGCTACAGATGGAACGCATGGCACTCCAATCATTAGCCCCACAGGCGTCTACTCCAACAACAGCAACAGCACCTACACTAACAGTAACCCGAGCCTCAAGACCAGGTCCGGTGGTAACCGCATTCTCATCCCCGTAAGCGTAACCGGCAGCAGCACAGGCAGCGAACCTCCCACTGAAAGCCCTACGGCCCAGCAACCGCCTCTTCTTTCCCCTCCTTGTTCTGACGCCTCTCCTCCCTCTAACCTCATCAAGACTCTCAGCAGCAGCAGCAGCGCCAGCAGCACGGGTTTCTTGTCCCAGGACCAATCGGGGCACTTGAGTGCTGCTGCTGCTGCTGCCGCCGCTGCTGCCGCTGCCGCTGCTGTTGGTGGTGGTGCGTCTGGTGGTCTCTGGCCTATGTATTCCGGACCCCTTCCCTCCACAGCGGCTTCTAACTCACCCTACGCATCCCCATACACTTCCGGTTACATTCCCCATAACGCATATGCTTATAACGCGGTTGGTTCTTCTTCCTTCTCTGCCTCTCCCTCCTCCTCGTCTGCCTCCCCCTATGCGCGCCCCACTCCCCCCCGCATCACCATCCCTATCCATCCGGACGAGGACGACGCCGAGTCTGACGCCAACGACCTCCCGAACCTGACTCCAGGTTCGGCAGCCAGGTCCGGGGGCGCCAAGCCTGTGAATCATCCGGGGCAGGAGGCTCGGCCGTCTACGGGTCAGGAGGATAAGAGGAAAAGCAGACAGCCTATCAGGGCTATTAGCAACATCGTTTACGGCAGCAGCAGCAGTACCACCACCACCACTAGCAGCAGCATGAATAACAGCAATGTCCTAAGGTCTGCTGCTGATAGTAGTTCTTCTCTAGCTGTAGGACCTCATTCTCTGCCTTCCTCCCTCCAACCTTCCCCCGCCCTATCTCCGTCCCCTACCGCTGCTGGCTCTGCTGCCGCCGCTGCTGCTGCTGCCGCTGATGCCCCGTCTGCTGCTGCTGCTGCTGTTACTAGCAGTGGTGCTGTTACCCCCCCCCCTGCTGCGACTCGGCCCCGACTCGTTGCCTTCTCCTCTCCCACACTTGAAGCAGGGAGGGAAGCAGGGAGGGAAGCAGGGAGGGCAGGAGGGGCAGCAGTGGGGGCAGCAGGAGGGGGGGTGGGGGCAGTGGATTGGCGGGTAGCGTTCAGTGAGTGGGGGGAGTGGTTACCAGTGGCGGAGATTGGCTGGTTACGCAAAATGGCCACGCGGATTGTTGCCATTGGTGGGCTTACTTGCTGCTGTGCAAGATACTGGTGAGTGTGTGAGTGAGTGAGTGAGTGAGTGAGTGTGTGTGTGGAGTGAGTTTGTGCATGCACACATGTGTGAGAGTGTGTGTACGTGCATGCATGTGTGCAAGCGAGTGTGTGTATGTGTGCGTGCCGCGTGCATGTGCCTCTCCCTAAATCTTCCACTTATAAATACATCCTGCTTATATATGTTTTTTTTGTAATTCTCATGAATGAGCCACTTCGATCATTGCACACTCATCACCCACGCGCTCTCCTCCCATGCTTCTGCCCGCCCTCCCATCCGCCTTTTGAGTCGACCCTTGAGTCACCCACGCGCTCTCCTCCCATGCTTCTGCCCGCCCTCCCATCCGCCTTTTGAGTCGACCCTTGAGTCACCCACGCGCTCTCCTCCCATGCTTCTGCCCGCCCTCCCATCCGCCTTGCGTCCTTCCTGTCTTCCGTCTTCCACAGCGCCGCCCGCGGCCCGAGCATAGCGAGTGGCACGGCTTGTCTTGACCTGAAGGAGCGCAGCGTTGCTGAGCTGGAGGCCATGCCGTGGAGCCAGCTGGAGCCCACCATCAAGACGTGGCTGAGGGACGCCAACATACTGGTAGGTTGTGTGTGAATGATGAATGTGTATGTGTGTTTATGTGTGTGTATGTGTGTGTATGTGTGTGTATGCCTGGGGACCGTGACAGAGAGCATGCCTTGGAGCCAGCTGGAGCCGACCATCAAGACGTGGCTGAGGGACGCCAACATACTGGTAGGTTGTGTGTGAATGATGAATGTGTATGTGTGTGTATGTGTGTATGTGTGTGTATGCCTGGGGACCGTGACAGAGAGCATGCCGTGGAGCCAGCAGGAGCCCACCATCAAGACGTGGCTGAGGGACGCTAACATACTGGTACGTATGGGGTGAAAGGGTTGTGTGTACGTGGTGTGTTGCTGTGTTCCTAGCCCCGTTGGGTTGGAGGCCATGCCGTGCAGCCAGCAGGAGCCCACCATCAAGGCGTGGCTCAGAGACGCCAACATACTGGTACGCAAGGGGTGAAAGGGGTGTGTGTCCCTGTGCTGTGTGTGGTGCGGGTATGATGGCGTGCCGTGCAGCCAGCAGGAGCCCACCATCAAGGCATGGCTCAGAGACGCCAACATACTGGTACGTTTTGAAGCCGCCCATTTCCTCCGATCCAAGCGCTACAGTAGGGAGTGCGTGTAATGAGGTTATATGTCTCAAAAATAACCTCATTACAAGTAGGGAGCGTGTCTGCTCTGCGAGGCAGTCCTAGAGGGCGCCCCAGAGCCCAGTCTACTGGCCCCCGTCTCCCCGCACTCCCCCTCCTTCTCCCCCTCAATCTCCCTATCCCTCCTCTCCAAAACCCCCATCTTGCCCTCTCCACTCAGATCCGAGTGCTACTGAGGGAGGGCGTCTCCTTTGTGAGGCAGTCCTAGAGGAAGCCCCGGAGCTTAGTCTTTAGCCATCCTCGCCCACCTACCCCCCCTCCATCCTCAACCATCCGTCCTCTCAGATCCGCGTCCTGCTGGAGGGAGAGCATTTCCTATGTGAGGCAGTTTTAAAGGACGCCCCGGACCCCCAGTCCCCCCATTGTTTCCCCTTTTCCCCCATCCTTCCCGACCTACCCCCCCTCATCCCCAACCTTCCCTCCGCTCAGATCCGTGTTCTATTGGAGGCAGAGCGTCTCCTATGTGTGGCAGTCCTAAAGGACGCCCCGGAGCTCAGTCTCTAGCCGGCCCCTTCCACTCCTCTTCTTCCCGATCTCCTTCCCTCTGCCGCGTCCTCTCAGATCCGCGTCCTGCTGGAGGGAGAGCGTTTGTTATGCGAGGCAGTGCTAGAGGACGCCCCAGAGCTCGATGCGGGCGGCGTCTATCGGCAGCTTCTGTCGGCGTCGCCCTGCGTGGAGGGCTCGGTCGGCAAGCTGGTCGGCACGGCTCGTTCCATTGCCGGGCTGACACGGTCCCCCGAGAAAGTCTTTAGCTTCATGGAGATGTTCCGAGCGGCAACTGGATTGAGGGAGCAGGTGAGGGAAGGAGAGGGAAGCAGGTGGCATGTAACAGTGTACGTGTGGGCGAGGGAGAGGCTGCACGGCTCTCCCAGTGACTCGGTTGGTTCCCCGAGAAGGTCTTGAGCTTCATGGAGATGTTTCGAGCTGCCACAGGGCTGCGTGCGGGAGCAGGTGAGGCGAAGGGAGCATGTGGTGTGTGTGGGAGCAGGTGAGGTTAGGGATCAGGTGAGGTTAGGGAGGGAAGGGAGCAGATGGGCGTGCGAGGAGGCTCCCTGTGGTTGCATTGGCAGGCCCTTGCTGCTGCCCTCGTGGCCTCTGCGGTGTTTGCTCGTGGCTTCAGGGGATTTTACAATCGACCTCAATATCTCCTCCCATCCACTGTCTTCCCCCTTCTTCAGGTGCAATCCGTGCTGATAGCAGCGGCAGGGGTGGGAGGAGGTTCCCTGTGGCCGCAGTGGCAGGCCCTCCCTGCCCTCCTCGCCTGTGCCGTATTTGTTTGAGTATACCCACAAACTTGATACTTCTTCTCTCCCCTCTCATTCCTCCCGTTTTCAGGTGCAATCCGTGCTGATAGCAGCAGCGGGGGTGGGAGGAGGCTCGCTCTGGCCGCTGTGGCAAGCCCTCTCAGCGCTCCTCGCGTGTACGGTGTTTGAAGGTACAAACCACCAGACTAACTCTTCTCTCCCACACCTTCCCCTCCCTTCAGGTGCAATCCGTGCTGATAGCAGCAGCGGGGTTGGGAGGAGGCTCCCTTTGGCTGCAGTGGCAGGCCCTCCCGGCCCTCCCGGCCCTCCTCCTCGCATGGGCCATGTTCGTTTGACAATACATCAACCCGAACCCCTCTCCTCTCTCCCACATGCCCCCTTTTTCAGGAGCAATCCGTGCTGATAGCACCAGCTGGGGTGGGAGGAGGCTCCCTTTGGCTGCAGTGGCAGGCCCTCCCGGCCCTCCTCCTCGCATGGGCCATGTTCGTTTGACAATACATCAACCCGAACCCCTCTCCTCTCCCCCACATGCCCCCTTTTTCAGGAGCAATCCGTGCTGATAGCAGCAGCTGGGGTGCGAGGAGGGTCGCTTTGGCCGCAGTGACAAGCCCTTCCAGCGCTCCTAGCATGTGCCGTGTTTGAGACCACACAACCTCGTTTCCTCTTCAGTTCCCCTATCTTTCCCCTTCATCAGGTGCAATCCGTGCTGATAGCAGCATTGGCCGCAGTGGCAGGCCCTCCCGGCCCTCCTCGCCTGTGCCTTTGAGGCGAGCTGACGAGCTGACTCCCCCTTTCCCCCCTCACTTTCTTGCCGTCCCATCCCACTCGTTCAGGTGCAATCCGTGCTGATAGCAGCAGCGGGGGTGGGAGGAGGGTCGCTTTGGCCGCAGTGGCAGACCCTGCCGGCCCTCCTCGCGTGTGCTGTGTTTGAAACTGTAGACGAGCTCAGCAGCACACTGAGAGATGTGGATGGGCTCACTCCTGCTGCCATGCCCTCTCCCGTCGCGCCTAAAAAGAAGCTCCTCAGCAGGTACGTTGGGAGCTCCTGAGCAGGTTTATCCAAGGAGGTCCGGATGTCCCTCCTTGTATGTGACATGTTTGGGACGATAGACGAGCTCAGCAGGGTGGGCTTGTGGCAAGCCCTCCCAGCCCTCCTAGCATGCACTGTGTTTGGGACGATAGACGAGCTCAGCAGGGTGGGCTTGTGGCAAGCCCTCCCAGCCCTCCTAGCATGCACTGTGTTTGGGACGATAGACGAGCTCAGCAGGGTGGGCTTGTGGCAAGCCCTCCCAGCCCTCCTAGCCTGCACTGTGTTTGGGACGATAGACGAGCTCAGCAGGGTGGGCTTGTGGCAAGCCCTCCCAGCCCTCCTAGCATGCACTGTGTTTGGGACGATAGACGAGCTCAGCAGGGTGGGCTTGTGGCAAGCCCTCCCAGCCCTCCTAGCATGCACTGTGTTTGGGACGATAGACGAGCTCAGCAGGGTGGGCTTGTGGCAAGCCCTCCCAGCCCTCCTAGCATGCACTGTGTTTGGGACGATAGACGAGCTCAGCAGGGTGGGCTTGTGGCAAGCCCTCCCAGCCCTCCTAGCATGCACTGTGTTTGGGACGATAGACGAGCTCAGCAGCACGCTGTGGGATGTCGATGGGCTCACCCCGGCTGCCATGCCCTCTCCCGTCGCTCCTAAAAAGAAGCTCCTCAGCAGGTGCGTGTATCTCTACCCCACCTGCCTGCCGTGTTTGGGACGATAGACGAGCTCAGCAGCACGCTGTGGGATGTCGATGGGCTGACTCCGGCGGCTATGCCCTCTCCCGTCGCTCCCAAAAAGAAGCTCCTCAGCAGGTGCGTGTATCTCTACCCCACCTGCCTGCCGTGTTTGGGACGATAGACGAGCTCAGCAGCACGCTGTGGGATGTCGATGGGCTGACTCCGGCGGCTATGCCCTCTCCCGTCGCTCCCAAAAAGAAGCTTCTCAGCAGGTGCGTATATACCTTCTGAATAGGTCTGTTTGTGTGTCTCTCCTCGCATGCGCCGTGTTTGGGACGATAGACGAGCTCAGCAGCACGCTGCGGGATGTGGATGGGTTAACCCCAGCCCGGCTGCCTTGCCCTCGCCTGTCGCTCCCAAGAAGAAGCTCCTCAGCAGGTTCGTTTGAAGCTCCTCAGCAGGTTCGTTTGAAGCTCCTCAGCAGGTTCGTTTGAAGCTCCTCAGCAGGTTCGTTTGAAGCTCCTCAGCAGGTTCGTTTGAAGCTCCTCAGCAGGTTCGTTTGAAGCTCCTCAGCAGGTTCGTTTGAAGGTTCTCAGCAGGTTGCTTCGAAGATCCTTTGTGTTCACTTCACCTGAACACCTCGTTCTGCCTCCTCCCCTCTCCACCACCTCTGTTTCGAGGTGACTTTTGGGTCGACTCAAAAGTCTTCTCAGCAGGTTGCTTCGAAGATCCTTTGTGTTCACTTCACCTGAACACCTCGTTCTGCCTCCTCTCCTCTCCACCACCTCTGTTTCGAGGTGACTTTTGGGTCGACTCAAAAGTCTTCTCAGCAGGTTGCTTTGAAGATCCTTTGTGTTCACTTCACCTGAACACCTCACTCTGCCTCCTGGTCAGTGCTTGTCATGAAGAAGAGCAGCAGTAGGAGGGGATCTCTTAGCAAAAGACGGTAGTCTCTCTAGAAAAAATCGTAACCCTTTGAAGTTTGAGTAAAACGCGAAAGTACAAACTCAGAACAGCTCTATTGACTATTCAAACATGTTTCGGTCCGTACGGGGATCATACCCGTCAGGCCTTCATCAGTGCAAGCACTGAGGTTGCTTTGAGAATCCTTTGTGTTCACTTCACCTGAACACCTCACTCTGCCTCCTCTCCACCACCTCTGTTTTGAGGTGACTTTTGGGTCGACTCAAAAGGTGACTTTTGTAACGAGGTGCCTTTTGAGTCGACTCAAAAGTCTTCTCAGCAAGGTTGCTTTGAAGATCCTTTGTGTTCACCTGAACACCTCACCCTGCCTCCTCTCCACCACCTCTGTTTCGCATCCACCCTCCACTCTCGCAGGATAATCTCCTGGAAGGCGCAGGAGGTGAAGAGCCAGAGCGGGGAGGACGTGGACGTGTCGGTGCATGCGGTTACCAGCTACGTGGTCAACTACATAGGGCAGCTGTTGGACAGGTATGTCTTATACTACAGCACTTACCCTTCCTGTTAGAGCATGGGATGACGTGGACGTGTCGGTGCATGCGGTTACCAGCTACGTGGTCAACTACATAGGGCAGCTATTAGATAGGTATGGGCTGATATCATTTACCAGCTGTTACCAGCTAGGGTGTGGACGTGGACGTGTCGGTGCATGCGGTTACCAGCTACGTGGTCAATTACATTGGGCAACTATTGGACAGGTAAGGGCTGATAGTGGTTGGTTACTAGCTGTTGTCAGCTAGAGCACGGATGTGGGCGTGTCGGTGCATGCGGTTACCAGCTACGTGGTCAACTACATAGGGCAGCTATTGGACAGGTATGGCTTACTCTACAGACTTACCTTACCTGCTAGAGCATTGATGTGGGCGTGTCAGTGCATGTGGTTACCAGCTACTGTGTGCTGTGCTGGAGGAGACTCACAGCACTAAGTTCAAACAGTTCACTGCCTCACAAGCTATGTGAATACTACTTTTGAGAATTCTCAAGAGTAAAATTCGCATGTGGTTACCAGTTACTGTGTGCTGTGCTGGAGGAGATTCACAGCACAAAGCTCAAACAGTTTCACTGCCTCACAAGCACTCACCCCTTCCCCACTCGTGCCCATGACTGTCCCATGAACTCCTCGAGCCAACTACTGTGCTGTGCTGGAGGAGATTTACCGCAGTCACGGAGACAGGGTGTTTTTAAGAATTCTCAAACAGTTCACTGCCTCACAAGCACTCACCCCTTTCTCAAAAACACGCTGTTCTGTGTTGGAGGAGATTTACCGGAGCCACGCCTTTTGAGGCGCCTCAAAAGGAGCCACGGAGGCATCTACACGCACGCACGCCTTTTGCTGTTTTTTCCTTTGCTTTAAGCCTACTGCACGCACGCAGCTCACTGAGCTATGCCTGGATCTCGCATGGAGCCATGGAGGCATCTACACGCACGCACGCCTTTTGCTGTTTTTTCCTTTGCTTTAAGCCTACTGCACGCACGCAGCTCACTGAGCTATGCCTGGATCTCGCATGGAGCCACGGAGGCATCTACACACTTTTATGCCCTTGCAATTCCCCCCTCCCCCCATCTCCCCATCCCTCTCACCTCCCTGGCAGAACCTCTCGAGCCAAAACTGTGCTGTGTTGGAGAAGATTCACCAGAGCCACGGAGGGAACACGTTTCAATCTCCCCTCATCCCCCCACTCTTCCTCCACCCATTCCTCTCCATACTTCTTATTCCGTCCCCCAGAACCTCTCGCGCCAACTACTGTGCTGTGCTGGAGGAGATCTACCGCAGCCACGGGGCCGACCATTTGAAAGAGCCCAGCAGCAGCAGCATCAACTGCTCGCCCCCTTTCCCTTTCTCTCCCTCTCACCTCCCTTGCAGAACCTCTCGCGCCAGCTACTGTGCTGTGCTGGAGGAGATTTACCAAAGCCACGGGGCCGACCATTTGAAAGAGCCCAGCAGCAGCAGCATCAACTGCTCGCCCCCTTTCCCTTTCTCTCCCTCTCACCTCCCTTGCAGAACCTCTCGCGCCAACTACTGCGCTGTGCTGGAGGAGATCTACCAGAGCCACGGAGCCGACCATTTGAAAGAGCCCGGCAGCAGCAGCATCAGCAGCAGCAACAGCTCCAGCCAGCAACCCGGCCATGCGCCACAGACGCCCGTGCAGGGAGCAGCAGGGACGCCCAAGAAGTTCACTGCTCCTGCTGCTGCTGCTGTTGCTGCCTGGCCCCGGAGCCACCTCTCATATTCATTCTCCCTCTCCCCGTTCCCCTCTGCTCTTGCCACCCTCACAGAACCTCTCGCGCCAACTACTGTGCTGTGCTAGAGGAGATTTACCAGAGCCACGGAGCCGACCATTTGAAAGAGCCCAGCAGCAGCAGCAGCATCAGCAGCCAGCAACCCGGCCATGCGCCACAGACGCCCGTGCAGGGAGCAGCAGGGACGCCCAAGGAGTTGAATGCTCCTGCTGCTGTTGCTTCTGCTGCTGCCACGGCTGCAGCTGTTGCCACCCCAGGTGGCCCTTCCGACTCGCATCCTGCCCTAGATTCTGCCTCTGCTGCCGCCACTGCTGCTGCTGGCAGTGGTGGTTTGAATACCGCACCAGAAACTCCCAAGGAAAGGGCTCGAGATAGCCAGAATGCTCTTGGTGGTGGTGGCAGTGGCGGTGGCAGCGTTCTCAGTGGCGGTGGGAAGAAGGGCAAGGGGGCAGGTGGGCGGCAGAGGAAGAGGCAGCTGGGGGCGGATATGGAGGCACTGTTGGATGCGCTCTATTTTAACATGGAGGCTCGGGGACGGACCATTGCCGATGGGCCTCTTGCTGCCCTCTTTGTTCTCAACAACGCCAACTACATCGCTTCTTCCATGTGAGTGTGTGGGGAGCGGTAGAGTTTGGTGCAGTGCGGTACAGAGGCAGAGGAAGAGGCAGGTAGGGGCGGAAATGGAGGCACTGTTGGTGCGCTCCATTTCGGCGCGAGAATGTCTGAATGGCTGTCAATCCATCCATGGTCCATCTCCTCATCTGCTCCTCTCCTCATCTCCCAACTCCTTTTCCCGCCAGCTCCTCCGGTCGAATGCGGGACGCCGTCCGCCACTCTGACCGCCACAACAAGTGCAGCAGGCGTGTGAGAGCATATATGAAGGAGCATATATGAAGGAGCATATATGAAGGAACAAGTGGGAGCATGTGTCAACCCCCTCTTTTTCCCCCTCCTTCCCTCGTCCCTCCCAGCTCCTCGGGCCGAATGCGGGACGCCATCCGCCATTCCGACCGCCTGGCAGACTACGAGTCGGCCTTTGAGAGGGCAGCGCTGTGCAAGGTATGAGCAGGTGCCGCTAGCGGTTTGCAGGTAGGGAGGCAGTTTTCTGGCCTCCCATCCGCCACTCCGACCGCCTGGCAGACTACGAGTCGGCCTTTGAGAGAGCCGCGCTGTGCAAGGTACGTGGGGGAGTGTGCTGCTTTGAGATGCTTTGACAAGGCAGGTCTGCGATTGTGGCTCTCTCCCTCCGCCACTCAGACCCCCTGGCAGACTTCGAGTCGGCCTTTGAGAGGGCAGCACTTTGCAAGGTAGGTGGGGAGGGGGGTGTCTGGCACGTGCTGCTCACAGTGTGCAAGGTAGTAGGGAAGAGGGGTGCTGGCCTCCCATCCGCCACTCTGACCGCCTGGCAGACTACGAGTCGGCCTTTGAGAGAGCAGGCTGTGCAAGGTATGAGTAGGTGCCGCTAGCGGTTTGCAGGTAGGGAGGCAGTTTGCTGGCCTCCCATCCGCCACTCTGACCGCCTGGCAGACTACCAGTCGGCCTTTGAGTGGGCAGGCTGTGCAAGGTATGAGCAGGTGCCGCTAGCGGTTTGCAGGTAGGGAGGCAGTTTGCTGGCCTCCCATCCGCCACTCCGACCGCCTGGCAGACTACAAGTCGGCCTTTGAGAGAGCAGCACTTTGCAAGGTAGGTGGGGAGGGGGGTGTCTGGCACGTGCTGCTCACAGTGTGCAAGGTAGTAGGGAAGAGGGGTGCTGGCCTCCCATCCGCCACTCTGACCGCCTGGCAGACTACGAGTCGGCCTTTGAGAGAGCAGGCTGTGCAAGGTATGAGTAGGTGCCGCTAGCGGTTTGCAGGTAGGGAGGCAGTTTGCTGGCCTCCCATCCGCCACTCTGACCGCCTGGCAGACTACGAGTCGGCCTTTGAGAGGGCAGTGCTGTGCAAGGTAGGTGGGGAGGGGGGTGTCTGGCACGTGCTGCTCACAGTGTGCAAGGTAGTAGGGAAGAGGGGTGCTGGCCTCCCATCCGCCACTCTGACCGCCTGGCAGACTATGAGTCAGCCTTTGAGAGGGCAGCGCTGTGCAAGGTATGGGCAGGTGCCGCTAGCGGTTTGCAGGTAGGGAGGCAGTTTGCTGGCCTCCCATCCGCCACTCAGACCGCCTGGCAGACTTCGAGTCGGCCTTTGAGAGAGCAGCGCTGTGCAAGGTACGATTATGAACTGGTAGTCTATTTTATGACATGACCTTGCAGGCCTGCCCTTCCCAGGGCAGGCCGGGCAGTCTGTTTTACTACTTTAAAAGAACGGTTTTTTAGGCGCCTCAAAAACTGGTAGTCTGTTTTATGACATGACCTTCCAGGCCTGGCCTGCCCAGAGCAGGCCTGGCTGTCTGTTTTACTACTTTTAAAGAACCACGCTGCGCAAAGTATTCCTTCCCAACCCACTCCAACCCATTCCAACCTATTTCAGCCCTCCACCCATCCCATCAGCTGCGAGCATGCTTGGACCCATTGGAATTGAGCCCCAAGAGCAGATGACCACGTATAACCGACCCATTTTGACCCATTCCAACCCATTACAACCCATTACAACCCTTCCCTCCACACCAGCTGTCGGCATGCCTGGATCCACTGAGTGAGCGCCAAGATGAAAGAACTTTCTACTTTCCAACCCACCGCAACCCATCCCATCACACCACATCCAACCCCACCCCACCGCACTCCACCCCACCATCTACTAGCATGCTTGGAGCCACTGGAAGTGAGCGCCAAGATGAGTTGACATCCCCCCACCCCACCCCAACCCCACTTCACCCCACTCCACCCCACTCTACCCAACCCCATCCCATCAGCTGCTGGCGTGCTTGGAGCCATTGGAAGTGAGCGCCAAGATGAGTGCGGATGGCGTGAAGCAGCGGTGAGTGCACTAATGGTAGTGCCGAGGGCATGATAGTGGGTGCACTGAGGGCAGAACGGTCAGATGCACTCACCCCACACCACGTCTCCCCATCAGCTGCTGGCATGCTTGGAGCCATTGGAAGTGAGCGCCAAGATGAGTGCGGACGGGGTCAAGCAGCGGTGAGTGCAGTGAGGGTGGTGCTGAGAGCATGGCAGTTGGTGCAGTGTTCTTAGGGCACAACGGCGGGTGCACTGACATCACATGGGTGTGGCTTTGTTGATGGTTGAGTTGCTTAGAAACCAAGATGAGCACCTTGCTTAGAAACCAAGATGAGCGCCGACAGCGTCAAGCAGCGTTGAGTGCACTGAGGGCAGTGAGTGTGTTGATGGCATGACAATATGTGCACTGATCTGAGGGAACAACGGCGAGTGCACTGAGATCACATGTTGTTATGGACGCATGTTTCCATGGATGCATGTTTCACAACCACGTGAATGCATGCTCCATCCCGCCATCCATCTCTCCATTGCTTCCTCGCAGGTTGAAGCGGTTCAATGCGGTGTTTGAGGAGGTGGCACTGGAGCAGCGGCGGTGGCTCGTGCTGAGCGACAGCTGTCGCAAGGCCATGCGTGTGCGCTTCGCCAAGGTCATCAAGGGCTCCTACATGGACTTTCTCACTCCGCACAGGTGAGCGTGGCCACCAAAACCAACTGTATAAACACTAGAAAGAACCCTGAATCTCAATCCCAAGGCCATGCGCGTGCGATTCGCCAAGGTCATCAAGGGCTCCTACATGGACTTCCTCACTCCGCACAGGTGAGTGTGTGATGGCTGAAACCTAGAAGTTAGAACCCTGACTCAATTACTGGCCATGCGCGTGCGATTCGCCAAGGTCATCAAAGGCTCCTACATGGACTTTTTAACGCCGCATAGGTGAGGGTTGCAGTAACCAAAGTCATTAAAGGTCATGAACTCCAGGCCTGAACCCTCACTGTCAAGCCCAGCGACAGCTGTTGCAAGGCCACACGCGTGCGCTTTGCCGAGGTCATTAAAGGAAGCTACATGACACCTTATAGGTGGGATTTGCAGTAACCAAACCCTAAATCCAAACCTTCAACCCAGAACTCCAAGTCTAAACCTTCACTCTCAAGCCAAGCGACAGCTGTCGCAAGGCCATGCGTGTGCGCTTCGCAAAGGTCATCAAGGGGTCTTACATGGACTTTCTCACGCCGCACAGGTGAGTGTGTGATGGCTGAAGACCTAAAATTTAGATAATTATAATATTGCTTCTCTTGAAATTTCATAACGATTCATTTTGCTTGTGTATCTTTCTGTGGTCTGTGTGCATGTGTCTGCGCAAAAAATGTTTTTTTTTTTCAGGGAGATAATTTCGGACATCCCAACGTACCATTGGTCCCCCGATGGAGTGGAGAGAATCATTTTGAAGAGTTTCTTCCTTGGTCGGAGCCTCCCTTGCGTCATGTCCGCCTGACGCTACGCTTTACAAGAAAATACCATGTCGGCCTGACTCAACGCTCACACTCTTCAAGAGACTACCATGTCTGCTTGACAATGCCTTGACAATATCTTTAGGGTTTTCAGCAGCTTTCGATTTGGGTTTGTGTAACAATTAGGCTGAGGCAGTACAATGTCAACTTAGGAATCCTGTAATTTATGCTAATATTCAGTGAATCTAACCTAGTAAGTCTAGTCTATCTCCGTACACTCTTGATGTCGCTTATCGGACCTTTCGTATCGAATCTTTTCCTCGCTCCCTTCCTCCGTCCTGCCGTTTCCCTCCAAAAAGGTCTCTTCGGTTCAGTCCCTGTCAGAATCAGCAACTCATTTCACGCCGCCTTCCACGATCCTTCCGGAACCTCCGGTGTTCCGCATTTGACGCGCCGCACATCCGTTTCGCCCGCTTCTCCGGTTCCCGCTTCCACCGGTCCGCGTCTTCCGCGCGCCATGTCTTCTGCCAAATCCGCCGGATCTCTGCTCCGCTTCATCCCGCCGTCGTACCTTCCGCAGCGGATGGACGTGCGGAGCGCCGTTACCTGGGGGACGACTGGAGTCGTCGGCGCGCTGTGGCTGATTCAGGTGCGACGGTCAGGTCAAGTCCGCGACCAAGCCGAGTTCTTAGTATACGCCTATAACATTCCTTCTCCATGCCTCGTCCGCCCAGTCTGTGCATGCATTCTTATTGATTCGTTGAAATTCCTGGGCTGTGTGGGCTTGTAACGGGGTCGCTTCTTGCAAGAGATCTCATCCAATACACTGCTCTTCTTTGCGCAAGGCGTCTATAAAATTGCCTCTAGGATCTCCTCCATTTCTCCCCTATACCCTCCCCCCTCCCACCCCCTCCCCCCCCCCCCCCTCAACCCAACCCCGACCCCTCAACGTCTCCGTTGTTGAATGCAGCCCTTTGGTTGGATTAAGGACCAGGTCTTCCCTCCCAAGGAGGTCTCCTAAACTGCTACAGCACGTGAAAATCCGGGTGAAGAGGCCCCTTACACCATTCCCCTATATCCCATATCGTGGATGTACTGTAGTGAATCCCGCAGCTGATGGTATCACCTTCCAATTTTTACTGTAGTAATGCCACGTCCTGTCTAGAAAAGGAAAACTTGAGTGGGTGGTTGTGATACAGTAATGTTCGCTCCCTCCCAACAGAAGTGCTGCCTTACAGAAATTGCTGTTGTATGGAATGTCTAGTCTACTACCTTACTTCTGGATTCAATAAACACTAAAAAGGGTTGTTTCATTTTCCCACGTTGGGTCTGGTACTGCTAAGGGTTGAGATAAGGCGTCGTGGGACTTATATACGGTAGTACCTAGACTCTCTTTCACACCCTTCAATCCCATCCCATGCCCTTGCAGCAACAAATCCCATGCCAGTGGTTAACGAAGTAACTATCCCCATAACTTCTGGTCTTAGGTACAGCCCATCAAAACATGTACACGAGCAGCCCACGTGACCTCAATGCTCCTGCATTTGAATGTGCCTTCTAGTCTTGCCATTTGCCCATCATGCTCAAGTCTAAACACTGCCTGCATGCAAGGTAAAAGAGCACCATATTACCTAGAAGTTGTGCTTACAAGTGTAGCGTCACTCTGCAAGAGCCTCCTCTCCATCCGCCGTCTAGCAGCCCACACAAACACAGGCGGGGCCATAGACATTATCTTACACACTGGAGACACAACCATGGTGCTTCCTGCACTGCCGCCACTTGCCACACAGCCACACTCTCTGCTGGAAAGCAGCCCTCCTCCCTTCTCCAATTCCCAAGGTCACAGCTGCTGCGTCCTCTCCTGGCGGGTTCCTTGTCTTCCCGTCTTGTTTCTGCTGAGCTCTCGAGGGACGTGACAGAAAACCCTCGTCTGTGCGCGATGTTCCCCTGCTTTTGCATGGCGTGTCTGTTTTTGCTTGCAGTTTCTCCCACCGCTTCACCATCAACCCTGCAACAAGACACTGCTTGAGAACTCCTCGCACCGGCCTCGTCAGCTGCACCATTCAATGTGACACACGTGGCGATCCCACAGGAGGCCGCATCTCCCCTTGCCAAGCAGCAACTTGACTCCTGCTTTTCAATTTGACTGCTCTGCTGCAACTTTGCCGATTCCAACTCTCTGGGAGCACGAACAGGATCAGCTACAGGGGAGGATTCAGACGAAGGGTTGACACATTGGTCCAGTGGGGAGCAGGGAGACCACGGATCCCGTATACCAGCAGCTACAAAGTCAGTAAGTGACTTTCTGCGGGGGAGGTAGGGAGGTCGATTGTCTGTGCTGCTTGGCGCTGTGGAAACTTGCCCAGATCTACCCAATTTTCTTGGGTGATTGGCTTCGTTGCGGAGTGACGGCTGAACGGCGGGATTGAGTGAGCTCGTTGCACGATTCCACGCCTCAAGACGGCGATTCACGTTGGAAAACCGGGATTTCTCAGCATTTGCGGTTGCTCCAGGATCCATAGCTCTGGTGTGCCAATCACCAAATCACCAAGAGAGTTGCCTCCTCTTGGTCTTCCAAGTGCGAAACAGTCTTCCCGTGTTCAGGCGGACTAAATTCGAGAGCGTCGAGAGAATCAAGAAACCGCACCGAAGGAACTGCTGAACTGTGAGGAAAAATTGCCAGCTATTCCTCAGACTACTGAGACTCCCTTGCTCCTGAAATATATTTCAAAAGTTGAGAGCGACGGGAGCTGCGTTGAGAGCTTGTGGTGATCCATACATTATGTATGGGATCATACGTGCGAAGTTAATAGCTCAGCTGGCGCACTAGTGAACTACAGTGCTCAGCTTGCCACACACGTACCGCCACGAGTAGGAGCAAAGCTCGGAAGATAAGTTTCGCCAATGATAGCATATTCCAGGCTGGAATTAACGCGCACTTGTGCACAGCTGTATGCCCTGCAGCTCGGAGCTATGAACCAAAACAGACCCCTCGCGGAAATGAAATCCATGGATTGAGTCGCCAAGAGGCGGCATCCTCTCGCACTCATCGACAGAGCTTTACTCGCGCACGCGACGCGACTCCCCCCTTACATTTCTACAGCACTGAGCGTAGGAGAGATTGAAGATTCCCCAATGATTCCAACTTCCCCCTAATCCTTCCTCGAGCCACGCATATCGTCTGTCCCGATTCTGCACTGCCTACGTTGCTGCTTGAGGTGAAAACAGATTCGATACGAGTGCCGATGGTAGAAACACACGTGTACGGCCTAGAGATTAGGATGGCGATCGTGATCTGAACTAATCTACCCTGGAAAAGCATTATGTCCCCGCAACAACCGAGGAGCCAAGCTTGAAGGAGAGTCGTAAGACATCCGATCCGAGCTGCAGAAGTTTGGTGGAGGAGGGGGGGGGAGTTTTCGCAACGGCTGGGATGAATCACAAAAAGTGGTCCCTGCGGAGGCGTCAGGGCATATTTAGCGGGAATACCCAAAGGCCCGAGGTGGGCTCTGAAGACGCTCGATGTGGAGGCTCAGAACCAGACCTGATGTCTGACACGAGCCGCGAATGCGCCCTTACGACTAGTTACTAACACTAGTTCAGCAAGAAACCTATTTACTGGCGAGGTGGAGAAAGCTGGCGTGAGAGGCCAAGCTCATCGCGGAATCCGAGGTGAATCACCCACTCAACTCGTCAGGCTTGGCCGCTTGCGAAGATTATGAAATATGCTTGCAAACCAAGCCCTCTCATGGCCCCGCCCCCCTAATTTTCGTGGTGCTGCTGAGCCTGATCATTTTTCTGGTCGGCAAGCAGCGGAAAACCCGTGGTGCTCCTCCCAGCCAGGCAGATTTGTGAAGTGGAATGGATCACATCCGTCTCTCGCACCACAAAACTTGTCGCCGTTTAGGTCGACTCGACAGCTGGTTTCTCCTGAATGGCCAGCAGCCAGCTGGAGCCACGTAAACTCCTATGAAAATCTACGAGAAACAGAGCAGTTGGTGTGGTGATGTTGGTTGGTGCTGCAGTGACTCGATAGAAGAGCAGGCCAGTGGCGATTTGAGCCAGATATGTGTGAGCTACTGTTTGTGTTCTGTTTAAAACGTCTCACTTACATATTTACTGTGAAATAATCATCTTTCCCTATAATGCACCATCTGGATAGAAAGGCTAGTGAGGAATAATGACCACCATCAAAATACTGGATGTATTTCTAAACTCCACATATGGCAGAGATGGCTTCCTG